CGAACCAAAGGCAGAAAACCCAGCCAGCAGCCAAACAAAGCCTCAAGCGGTGGTTCCCACAGCGCAGCAACCCGGCAAAGGGGATGCAGCAAGGAAAACCGCCGTCACCTCTCCGCTGGGAAGCGCTGAGCAAAGGCGAGTCCCCAGGCAACGCGACCGATTTGATTGGCACAAGGCATGCAAGCTCCACCCCCCAGTCGTTCTTAGACTCCTTATTGGGTGAGCAACGCAGCCAAGCAACACAGTTGGAGCCTCCCTCCTCCCTGGCTGGCAGGGAGGGAAGGAGGGAGAGGAGCTGCTTCCTTTGAAACCCGGGAAATTTAAGGGACATCATCAATAAGGGACAGCAGAGGGACACGGCGCTGGGATAAGGGACTTTCCCACCAAATAAGGGACAGTTGACAGCTATGTCTAAGTCCATACGCCTCCTTCCCACACCCGCCATTGGAAGCCTCTGCCTCATTCTGCCTTATGGTAGGGCCAGTCCCAAATTTGGCACTAAACTCTGTTGAAGTTGCTGCTTGTGACCGAACAGCTGTCCCCCCCAAAGGGACAAGAAATCCCTGAAATCTTTGCAGGTTCACATAGGCTTTTTTGGGGGGGGCACACCCTTTAATTTTGTTCTAGAAGGAGCACCACCCAGAACTGAATGCTTGGTTTAGCCAGTCACAGTTGCTGAAGGAGTCAAGCAGCCTCCAAACTAAGGTGGCATTGTGGGTAGAGGCAGGGGTGTCACAAGGGGGGTGCGGTCTGGCCCGGGTGTCATGCTTAAAGGTAGAGGTAAAGGGACCCCTGACCATTAGGTCCAGTCGTGACCGACTCTGGGGTTGTGGCGCTCATCTCGCTCTATAGGCTGAGGGAGCTGGCGTTTGTCCACAGACAGCTTCCGGGTCATGTGGCCAGCATGACTAAGCCGCTTCTGGCAAACCAGAGCAGTGCACGGAAACGCCGTTTACCTTCCCGCTGGAGTGGTACCTATTTATCTACTTGCACTTTGACGTGCTTTCGAACTGCTAGGTTGGCAGGAGTTGGGACCGAGCAACGGGAGCTCACCCTGTCGCGGGGATTCAAACTGCCGACCTTCTGATCGGCAAGTTCTAGGCTCTGTGGTTTAACCCACAGCGCCGCCCGCGTCCTGGCGTGTCATGCCTAGGGGGTGTGTAAATACGCCTGGCGATCAGTCTTGCACCCCCCGTTGGGCTGCGTTTGCACCCTCCAGCGGGTGGTTTTATGCGATTGGCGGTCGGATTTGCTCAACAACTCTGGACAACCTTCCCTAACCTTCAACAACTTTGTGTGTGGGGGGGGTGACAATTTTTTTCCTGCACCGGGTACCATCTGACCTTGCTATGCCTCTGACTGCATGCAGCACTGCTTCTGACTGCTGCGATTCGTCTTCCATTCAAAGCAATGTTCTTTTTTTCCAGGTCCACTGGGGCAAAATTGTGAAACATGTGATTTAGGTAACTAACTATGTAAATGACTTTGCCATTGCAATAGGGCCCAACCCTACTTTGTGATTGTCAGTTGTTTTAAGCTACTTTTAACGTTGTGTCTCGCCATCTGCTGTGTAATCATTGCATATTGTCATTGCAATAGGACCCAAATTATTTTTGTGACTGTAAGTGGATTTAAACTGTTTTTAACGTTGAGTTTCAATTGTTGCAATCCACTCTGAGACCTTAGGGTAAAGGGCAGGTAATAAATTAAAATAATAATAATAATAACAATAGCAATGTTTTCCCACCCATCATTTCAATGCAAAGAAAACACAATGCTAATAGTGGGAAGGGGGGTGTAATCAGCAACATATGATTTGCAGATTGAAACCAATAACAGTGAATCCCAATTGAATTCACCGGATTGATTTCCACTCCAGATATGGGACCAAACACCAGCAATTTCCACTCCTATTTCCATTTTCATCAGAGTTTTCTGACATTCCTAATTAGGGGGAAAGAGCCAGAGGTAGCAAAATATAATAAAACTGAGCCTGAACGTCACTCGTGGGCCTCTACATCCCTGCATTAAATGAAACAAAACAACCCTAATAATAATAATAAATACTAATAACTTAGTGCTCAAAAATGGGAATAAATTAAACTTTGATAGCGACAGCAAGTGATTGACATGCAACTCAGGACCGAATCCCAAACGTAATAAATAATTACAGCAATCAATAAATAACAAAGGAACATATAACAGCACACGGTCGGATTGAGGGAAAAAGAAGGAGCCTTTGCTGCCACGGAGTCAAACGCCTGTGGACAGCCCTCTAAGCAGGCACATCTTTCCAGGATTTGCAAAATCCCACATTTAACCACCCTCTATGTGGTCTGGCAGGAAAGGTTGGGGTAGATGCAATACAGCGGAGGAGGGGGTTGTTCAGAGATCCCTCCCACCTCCAATAAATAACACGGAACTTCTGTCTCTCTCTCTCGTTTTTTGCCTCTATTTATACAGGTTTTACAAAGATGAATGGTGATTAATGTGCACAACGCCTCGCCTTCCACAGAGTGATGGACTTCCCTTATCTATGTTGGAGATGCTATTTCGCTTCACTTGACCCCCTCCCTCAAATTCCCTGCATCATTTGTTGTTGTTGTTGTTTAGTCGTTTAGTTGTGTCCGACTCTTCGTGACCCCATGGACCAGAGCATGCCAGGCACTCCTGTCTTCCACTGCCTCCCGCAGTTTGGTCAAACTCATGCTGGTAGCTTCGAGAACACTGTCCAACCATCTCATCCTCTGTCGTCCCCTTCTCCTTGTGCCCTCAATCTTTCCCAACATCAGGGTCTTTTCCAGGGAGTCTTCTCTTCTCATGAGGCGGCCAATGTATTGGAGACCCAGCTTCAGAAGTTGTCCTTCCAGTGAGCACTCAGGGCTGATTTCCTTAAGAATGGAGAGGTTTGATCTTCTTGCGGTCCATGGGACTCTCAAGAGTCTCCTCCAGCACCATAATTCAAAAGCATCAATTCTTCGGCGATCAGCCTTCTTTATGTTCCAGCTCTCACTTCCATACATCACTACTGGGAAAACCATAGCTTTTACTATACGGACCTTTGTTGGCAAGGTGATGTCTCTGCTTTTTAAGATGCTGTCTAGGTTTGCCCTGCATCATTAGCTCGGTGGATTTTAACTCCTCCTCATTAATTCCGGAGGTGGGTTTGAGAATCGTAGGTTGGGGGTGGTCCCGGTTGTGGGGAACCTGTGGCCCTCCAGCTGTTGTGGGACTTCAAGTCTCCAAAAGAACCTAAGAAGAGCCCAGCCAAAGGCCCATCTCATCCAGCATCCTGTGATGGCCAATCAGATGACCCAACTGGGAAGACCACAAATGTCCATGACTGTTGGCCATGTTGGCTTGGAGTTGATGGACATTGTTGGAGTCCATCGAGCATCTGGAAGGCCACAGGTTCCTCACCCTTGGGTCTTACTAAGTTCCATGGCCTGGATTAAGAGATGCCACAGACGTAACGAGGAAGTTTGACGATCCAGTTTGACGTCCTTGGAAGGCCGGCAACTAGTTTGTCGTCACACGACTGTCACTCTCTGGTGGCAGAAGGCGAGGTTTCTGCAGCCGCCTGGGTCAGCCAGGGAAGGTTGAGGGTGCAGATCACAAGAGGAAGAAGGACATGGAGGACAGAAGCTCAAAGGGATCAATCACAGAATTGTAGAGTCGGGAGGGCCATCCGAGTCCAGCCCCCTGCAATGCAGGATTCTTAGTGGATGACATAGCAAAGTCTACTCCCCCTTAACGGGGAGCAACAGGAACCAGCAACATGACCTGCTGAATTGTGGAAGAATTTGGGGTGCGGCATCAATAGCACTCCCTCAATGGGACGGTCCAACGGTGGCTGTGATACAGGCAAGAGGAGGACACACCCAGTTCTCTTGAGTTCCCAGAACTGATGGACTGGTGTGAAGCAGATCCCATCCTTGCAGGAGAAACGTGCTAGAGACAGCCCAGGTTTGCACTCGCCGGCCTGCAATGACAAGGGATCAATTTCATGGCTGGTTTTTTCCCCATGGGTTGGTGGGTCAGGTGGAAAAAGGAAGCAAGATGCATCCCTCTGGGACGTCCCCCACAACTTAGGGTTGCTGAACGAGTGGTGTCATTTGCGTCCGGTCAAGAACAGGACGCCTTTCCGGATCTGCCCCTTGAGAAATTCATTCCGTTGAGCCCATTGAAGTGGGAGGGAAGGGCACCCCCTCCTGGCTGTGGTCTACTAACGCCGCAAGCTGTCGTAGCTGCCTGCCGACTCGCCGCTCCTGCTGCCGCTTCGCCGGCTGTTCCGTGCCCCTGAGCTGCTGCCACTGCGGCTCCGGTTGCTGCCGCTGCTGCTCCAGCTTCTGCTGCGGCTGGTCCTTTTGCTGGAGTAGCTGCGGCTACGGCTGGGGGAGTAGCTGAAGGGGCTGTGCCAGGAGGAGTAGCTGCTGATGCTGCTGGGGGATGAGGAAGAGGGGCTGGGGCGGTAGTAGGGGATTGGGCGCTTCCGGGCACTGCGGAGACAAAAGAAATTAAGAGGGGAGCTTTTTTCTTCCTCCTCTCATCACGCAAGAACTCGCGGACATGCAAAGAAGCCGACGAGAGCAAAAAAACTGTCCAAATTTTGAAAGAAATTTCAAAAAAGAAAATTAAATTTGCAGTTTAAATGTGTAAATTTGAATCAGTTTAGATTGCTTTTAAATGCAAAATCAATTTGGATTACTTTTAAATGCAAAATCAATTTAGATTGCTTTTAAATGCATAATCAATTTAGATTATATTTATAGATTATAGATTATATAATCTATTATATATTGATTATATAATAAAATCTATAATATGTAGACCATATAATCTATTATATAGATTGTATAAATTAATCTATTATATATAATAGATTATATTACATTTATATAATTATATTTAAATGCAAAATCAATTTTAAATTCACGGAATTTTCATTAAATATATAGATTTAAATTTGCAGAATCTTCTCCCTGACATTCTTTGTGCGCTCAAAATCTTTGCAACCTGCAATAGGGCAAAATTTGACGCAAATTTAGTTCAGTGCTGTCAATATATATTTTACTGCATTTCTATCTCACCCTCATAGCAACATACCCTCCAACATTTTGCTGATAAAAATAGGGATGTCCTGTATAATAATAATAATAATAATAATAATATAATATACCCCGCCCATCTGACTGGGTTGCCCCAGCCACTCTGGGCAGCTTCCAACATACATATAAAAACATTAAACATTAAAAAATATCCCTATGCAGAGCTGCCATCAGATGTCTTCTAAAGGTTGTGTAGTTATCTCCTTGTATTGAAGGTCACATAACTCCATACCCTCCAATATTTCTCTGATGAAAATAGGGATGTGCTAAGGAGAAGCGGGACATTCCGGGATCAAATCAGAAACCGGGATGGCTTTTGTAAATCCAGGACTGGAAAATAGGGACACTCGGAGGGTCTGCAACAACCCTGTGAAGTAAATTAGGTAAATTGGCACTGACTGGCCCCGAATCACCCATTGATTTTCATAGCTAGGTAGGGATTTGAACTTGGCATGTCCCAGTCCTAAGCCAGTCTTTCTACACTACCTCCCCAGTTAGAGGCAGTACACTTCTGAATACCAGTTGCTGGAAACCAGAGGAGGGGAGAGTGTTCTTGGGTTCAGTCCCTGCTTGTGGGCTTCCCTAGGCATCTGGGTGGCCACTGTGGGAAGAGGATGCCCTGCTGGATAGGTCTCTGGCCTGATATAGCGGGTGGCACTGTGGTCTAAAACACTGAGCCGCTTGGGCTTGCTGATCAGTGTGGGATGTGAAACACAAGAGCAGTCAAGTACAACATTCCTAGAGTGAACATGTTTACACATGGGGAGGAATGTTTGTCCAGCCAGCAGGTAAACTTCCTGTTTCCTTCTGGGCTGGGACAGACTTCCTCTGCATGTGACTAGAGGTGGGTGTGGCCTCACCTGTGCAGGAAATGACAAAAGCACAGGGCAGGGCAGCAATCTCTCTCTCTTTCACTACATGCATCGAAGAAGCAACATCTGCTTAGCCAAAGATGCTCTCTTGGCTCCAGCCAAGAGAGGACAAAGGGACTGACTTCTTACGGAATAGTTTCCAAGTGTATGTTACTTTTCTAAGCTAAGTCTGCCTTCTGGGATCCTATTGTGAACAGAATGATATGTGAGTAAACCTTTTTATACTTTTATAGAAGACTGTGTCATGTCTTATCTTATATGAGGGAATAAGGGGAAAATACCAGAACAGTTATTATAGAGGCTTTAGCGAGCCTGAGCAAACACATCTGCCGTGAGTTTAAAAAGGGGAATGTTACTCTGCTAAATTGTGGAACTTGTTGGAAAAGGATATAATCAGACAATATATCCTCTCCTGCATCCCTGAACATTCCCACAATCAGAAGGTCGGTGGTTCGAATCCCCACAGCGGGGTGAACTCCCGTTGCTTTGTCCCAGCTCCTGCCAACCTAGCAGTTCAAAAGCAGACCACTGCAAGTAGATAAATAGGTACTACTGCAGCGGGAAGGTAAACTGCGCTTCTGTGCACTCTGGTTTCCAGCACGGTGTTCCGTTGCGCCAGAAGTGGTTTAGTCCTGCTGGCCACATGACCAGGAAAGCTGTCTGTGGACAAACACTGGCTCCCTTGGCCTGAAAGCGAGATGAACGCCGCAACCCCATAGTCACCTTTGACTGGACTTAACCATCCAGGGGTCCTTTACCTTTACCTTTTAGCAGACTGTTCTCGTATTTTTATGCCTTTTGAGGTGTAATTCCCAAGTGGGTAGCAGCTCAGCCCTGACATCCAACCTTTCAAGGTGGTTTGATCACCTTGACAGCAGCTGAGAAGGACAGTTTTCTTCTTTTTTTACCTCTGGGACAGTCCTAGCTCACCTTGTTATGCGTCGGGCTTCCAGATGGCTGGGGGAATCTCTTCTCCGCTTCCTCATGGGTGAATATGACTGTTTGCGGCGTCGGCGGTCACGGTGCCTGTGAGACTCCTTCCCACTGGACCTGTACTTGTGATCTCGTTCACGGTCCCTGAGAAAAAAAGATAATCCCATGGATGATCAACCATGCTTATCTTAGTAAGTACTGGAGATGCAAAAGAGGTTGAGGGAATGTTCTTTCATATGTGGTGGGCTTGTAAAAGGGTAAAAGAGTATTGGGAAATGATCCATAATGAATTGAAAAAAATGTTTAAAAGTACTTTCCCCCCAAAAACCAAGAATCCTTTCTGTTGGGGATAATTAAGACTGAATTTCCCAGGTGTCAAAAAAGGTTATATATGTATGCCACTACTGCAGCCCGTGTTTTGTTAGCCCAAAAATGGAAAATGAACAAGGTCCCAACCAAAGAAGAATGGCAACTTAAGTTGACAGAATATGCACAACTTGCAGACTTAACATATAGAATAAGAAAATAAGAAGAACATACATTTAGAGAAGACTGGAAAACGTTTATTGAACATATGGGAAATAACTGTGTACAGCTGAAAACACTGGAAGCACTAAGAAAAATTCAACAGTGTAAATAAGTTATGATGGATGTAGTAATGGAATACTGAATGGTATAGTTTCTGTAAATATGCAGGGATATATGATATGTAAAATGAACCATGGAAAGAAGAAAGGAAGTCATTGATATTTGAAGGATGTAAAAATGAGTACTTTAAACTGTAAAACAGAAAATTTAATAAAAATTACACACACACACACACAGCTTATCTTAGCTCAGGCAGATACACAAGTTCTTGTTATATACTGGATTTGTCAGTCGCCTTTTTTTTTTTTTTGCCGCGGCAACTCAAAGTGACTGACAATATTCTATGGAGGCGCAGATTACAGCTATAACAAAGGCGGCATTTTTTCATCTCCGCCAAGCTAAGCAGTTGGCTCCTTACCTCTCTCGCCCTGACCTAGCCACTGTGATCCACGCAACGGTCACCTCCAGACTGGATTATTATGTGGGGCTGCCCTTGAGACTGACCCAGAAACTCCAGCGGGTGCAGAATGCCGCAGCGAGACTCCTTACGGGGTCTTTGCTGCGAGATCACATTCACCCGGTGCTATACCAGCTGCACTGGCTCCCGGTGGAGTACAGGATCAGGTTTAAGGTGCTGGTTTTAACCTTCAAAGCCCTATACAGCCTAGGACCCTCATACCTACGGGACTGCCTCTCCTGGTATGTCCCACAGAGGAACTTACGGTCTTCAAATAAAAACATCCTGGAGGTCCCAGGCCACAGAGAGGTTAGGCTGGTCTTAACTAGAGCCAGGACATTTTCGGCTGCGGCTCCAATCTGGTGGAACGCTCTGTCACAAGAGACTAGGGCCCTGTGAGACCTGACATCTTTCCGCAGGGCCTGCAAGACAGAGCTGTTCCACTAGGCCTTTGGCCAGGGCACAGCCTGACTCCCTCCTTTGGCAATCGTCACAGAACTCTAGCCCAATGGTTGCCATCAATTTGATTTTAATTATTTTTTATAATGAAATGTTTTTAGAATGTTGCACTATTTTATTGTTGTTAGCCGCCCTGAGCCCGGCTTCAGCTGGGGAGGGCGGGATATAAATAAAATTTATTGTTGTTGTTGTTGTTGTTATTATTATTATTATTATTATTATTATTATTATTATTCTAAGCAACAAACAAACACAGGCATACATTGAAGCTTTTCTCCCCCTCTCAGAATGCTAGAACTTGTGGCCATCCAATGAAGCTGAGTGTCGGAAGATTCAAGACACATAAAAGAAAGGACTTCTATTGAACTATGGAACACTCTGCCACTGGAGGCAGCGATGAGGGCCACCAGCTTGGATGGCTTTAAAAGAGGGTTAGACAAATTTGTGGAAGATCAGGCTATGAGCCATGATGTCTACCTTCTTCCTCATTGAGAAGTGCAAATTTGGTACAGTGGTACCTCAGGTTAAGAACTTATTTCGTTCTGGAGGTCCGTTCTTAACCTGAAACTGTTCTTAACCTGAGGTACCACTTTAGCTAATGGAGCCTCCCGCTGTCGCTGCACCGCCACCGCTCAATTTCTGTTCTCATCCTGAAGCAAAGTTCTTAACCCGAGGTACTATTTCTGGGTTAGTGGAATCTGTAACCTGAAGCGTCTGTAACCTGAAGCGTCTGTAACCCGAGGTACCACTACAGTTCGCAAATTAAAATGCAAAGAAAACTGAACACCTCCCCCAGCCCTTGTCTGAAGTCTGCCCTAGGCCTGGTGTTGTTCCTGGACACCGCCAGGCCTTGTGTGGTTTTCTTGGGGCTGCATTAGGAACCGTGCTGGTCCTGGCGCTCACCTGGTCTTGCATGACCTTGCGTGACCTTCCAGGGGATGCTCAGTCTCCCATAATGATGAGGAGGCCAAAGACAGCAAAGGTAAGAGAGGGGAGGGCAGAAGGGGGGGGGGAAGCAGGTGGGTGAGGAAGGAGCTAGCGGCAGGGAGGGGGTGAGTGAGCAAGGGAAATGTGGGGTGGGGTGGGGCTTTCCCCAGTGGTGGTGGTGAGGGTCTGGGTTTTTGATCCCTGGAATATGGCAACCCTAGATTAGTTGACCTGGGAAAGAAGACTCTCATATCTTCTGTTAATAACCTCTTAACAACATCCTCAGATTTACTGCCCACCAACTCCTATCTCCAAGTCCTTCCTATCTCTTAAATATCTGCTAATGTCAAATCTCTTGCAACCATCTACAGAGCCTTCAAACATCATTCCGCAACCACCCTGTGACCCCCAGGTATAGGGTGGTATATATAGTCAATGAATGAATGAATGAATGAATGATGGAGATCCTGGATGAGAAGTGTGTGGATGGTAAGATGGGAGCACTGGACACAGCACAAGCGAGTGGTACCTGATAGGACTATAGCGAGCATAGCTGGGACTTCGTCGCTGCCTGGAGCTTCTGCTCCCGGGGCTTCTCTTGCAGGACTTGGGTGAGTAGCTAGGAGAACGTGAATAGGATCTGGAAACAGGGGAGAAATATAAGGCTGATGGGAAAGAGCAAGAGGCGCAAGATTCAACCCCCAATAAAAGCCGTATGCACTGGGAGGTGGTCTTGCTGAGGTTGTGGTTACACAGGGCCACAGAACTGGTTCACAGAGACGTCTTGCTACCTGGTGTAGGCTTCTGTTGAGCTCAGGGGTGGAGAACCCTTTGGTCCTCTAGATGCATACCCTCCAACATTTATCTGATGAAAATAGGGACATCCCATTCCATAATGATAATTTTACTATTTAAACCCCCCACATCTCAGTGACCCAGCCACTCTGGGTAGCTTCCAACATATATGGGTAAAGGTAAAGGGACCCCTGACCATTAGGTCCAGTGGCGGACGACTCTGGGGTTGCGGCGCTCATCTCGCTTTATTGGCCGAAGGAGCCGGCGTTTGTCCGCAAACAGCTTCCGGGTCATGTGGCCAGCATGACTAAGCCGCTTCTGGCGAACCAGAGCAGCGCACGGAAACGCCGTTTACCTTCCCGCCGGAGCGGTACCTATTCATCTATTTGCACTTTGACATGCTTTCGAACTGCTAAGTTGGCAGGAGCAGGGACCGAGCAACGGGAGCTCACCCCGTTGCGGGGATTCGAACCGCCGACCTTCTGATCGGCAAGTCCTAGGCTCTGTGGTTTAACCCACAGCACCACAACATATATAGAGAAACATAATAAAAAATTAAACATTTAAAAAAACCCTTCCCTATACAGGATTGCCTTCAGATGGCTCAGGGGTCGGATAACTCCATACCTTCCAACATTTATCCAATGAAAATAGGGACATCCTAAGGCAAGCATGGCCAAACTTGGCTCTCCAGCTGTTTTGGGACTACAACTCTCATCGCCCCTAGCTAACAGGACCAGTGGCCAGGGATGATGGGAATTGTAGTCCCAAAACAGCTGGAGGGCCAAGTTCGGCAATGCCTGTCCTAAGGAAAAATGGGACATTCCAGGATCAAATCAGAAACCAGGATGGCTTCTGTAAATCTGGGACTGTCCCTGGAAAATAGGGACACTTGCAGTGTCTGTAGATGTTGTCGGACCTCAGCTCCCATCAGCCCCTGCCAACGTGGCCCACTGTCAAAAACGTTGGGAGTTTCATAGATCATAGAATCGTAGAGTTGGAAGGGACGCTGAGGATCATCTGGTCCAACCCCCTGCCATGCAGGAATATGCAGCTGTCCCATAGGGGGATTGATCCTGCAACCTTGGCGCTCTGACCAACTGAGTTGTAGTCTAGCAGCATCTGGAGAGGCACAAGTCTCTCATTCTGCCTGGTATGAATGACAACCAGTGTGGCACAATGGTTAGAGCATCGTACTAGGACCTGGGAGACTCCGGTTCGAATCCTCCCACTCAGCCATGTGAAGCACCTTGGGGGCCAGTCACTGCCTCTCAACCTAACCACCTCATGAGGTTGTTGGAAAGATAAAATGGGGACTTGGAGAACCATGTGCACCACCCTGAGCTCCTTGGAGGAAAAGGTGGGGTATAAACACAATACATAAATAATATACACATTTATATCATGCATTTTAAAATACTACTTAATCAACCAAAACCTCTATACGGTTTCAAAACTTTTTAAAGCAAGCCTCCCCAGATATGTATAGTTGATATAAATTTAAACATGTAATTTTATTTGTGTGAAAACTGCTGATTTTGTTTTTGAATTCCATTTTAGGTTTACTTTTTTTTAAAAAAACCACATGATTGGTAATTTGAAATTTATATTTTATGTAAGCTGCTTAGAAGCTTCGATGAACAAGCAGCATATAATTCCAATGTAAAAAACGAGTTCGCATAAAAACACATGCCTCTGCAGTTTCAAAACAAATATACATAATCAAATTCCACGTTAAAAGTATGTTTCAGGATAGGCTTTTCTAAATGTAAAATGCTTTGGCGGGTCCTGAAAATGATAAGAGTGAAGGTGCCTCCCTGATATTGTTGTAAACAAAAATTGCCCTTTTCCCTTATGGGGTATCTAAGAGCCCATATAGAGTCCTTACATAGGTTCCCTATTGGTAGGAGAGAATAACAGAGGCCAACCAGAGAATACTGAGAAGCAAAGCAGCTAGTAAGCTTGATCTTTATTGATCTGTTGCAACAGGGTGCTCCCCTCACCCGCAGGAGAGAGGAGGGACCCAGAAAAATGGCTCGCAAGGCCTTATAAAGACTTTTGAAATTGCCACCCTGTAGATCAAGACCACCCCCAGAAACATCATACATACATCACAGAATGGGTGTAACCTAAGACCACCCCTCAGATACATCATACCTACATCACAGAAAAGGCGGTCTAAACAGAAATTTAAATGTTTTTCTCTTGTCTTTATTTATCTCCTGTCTGGCAGGTTACTTGATTGGATTGCCTGGGGAGCCTGGCCATTCTTTTGTAGTGATAAATACTTAGTTCCTGGGCCATGTCACAGGCTCACACCCTATTCAAACACAGACACACCGTTAAGACAGGATTTGTGAAGGAAAAGACAATGGGGAGGCTTTTCCACTTTGACCTTGCAGAGAAAACATTTGCTCAGTTTAGGAATCAAAATGGCTTCAGGTCGGTCTTCCTGTGCTGATCTATGTACGTGTGGTTATGAACATTACCATATATCTAAGACCTCAAAATTCCTATCACAATATCCAGGGGAAAGGGGAGTTCCAGAGAGTCAGTACTGCCAATAGATGACCCCCCAAAATACCTCACCTTGTCCCTGATGAACAGGATCTGCTGTGTGAAGACCGGGATCCTGCCTTGTGATGTAATAAATGGGAGTGGTTAGACTCTGGAGATGACCTGCTGGATGTAGAATCATTCCGTGCACATGACCTAAGAGGCGAGCCAGAAAAGAACGGGTGAAAACAAGACTTTCTTTTCTGAGTGCCCAGGAGATTGCATCAAGCCTTTTCCTGAAAAGGGACATTTCACACCCAAAAACAGCATTCTGGCCTTACAGGAACTTGGTACAGCAAACCAGTTTCTGCTCCAGTTTCACTCCCTTTAAAAGATGCAATTTGAAACACAGAAAAGCTGCCTTATACTAGGTCAGGCTATTCATCCATCTGACTCTATACTAGCTACTCTGACTGGCAGCAGCCTACTCTACCCATCACTGCTATCAGAGACCCTTTTGCCTTGCATGAAAAAGGTCCCAGTTTCAATCCCCAGCAGAACCCTCTCTGAAACCCCTGTCAGCCATGAATTTGTCTAATCCTCCTTTAGAGCAATCTAGTTTGGTGGTCATCCCAGTACATTTCCGAGCACAATTCAAAGTGTTGGTGCTGACCTTTAAAGCCCTAAACGGCCTCAGTCCAGTATATCTGAAGAAGCGTCTCCACCCCCATCATTCTACCCAGACACTGAGGTCCAGCACCGAGGGCCTTCTGGCGGTTCCCTCACTGTGAGAAGCTAAGTTACAGGGAACCAGGCAGAGGGCCTTCTTGGTAGTGGCACCCTCCCTGTGGAACGCCCTCCCACCAGATGTCAAAGAGAACAACAACTACCAGACTTTTACAAGACATCTGAAGGCAGCCCTGTTTAGGGAAGCTTTTAATGTTTGATGTATTACAGTATTTTAATATTTTTTGGGAAGCCGCCCAGAGTAGCTGGGGAAGCCCAGCCAGATGGGCCGGGGTATAAATAATAAATTATTATTATATTATCAGGAGCTACAGCAACTTCCTGTTGCTCCAGAGCTCAGACTTTCAGGGTGGTTGCTCACCTTTGATCCTTGGCTCGAACCCTTGGAGATGGATTGTCTAAAGTTGCCCCCTTAGTCCGGGAGAAGCAGCTGGTGAAGGAATTTCCTGAATCAGAACTGCTCCCGCTGCTCACCTTCCCGGAAGAGAAGGCCCGGCTGAAACCATCACAGACTTGATCACCTGGTGGTTTGGGGCCCCCGTTTGACCTGGATGCACTTGTCTGGGTGGATGGAGGGGAAGAAGTATCATTTCCTGAGTCGTACTCGTGGGGTTCTCCATTCTGTTGGGCCAGCCTGCCAACCCGACCCTCTGCTTTTTTAAAGAGGTCAGCAGGACACCCAGACTTTGAAATCTGCAAGCAAAACAAAAGCCATTGGCCAGCGTTTAAATAGATTTTTCCTCAGCCCATTAAGTTTTGTCTGATTTTATACACTCAATCATTATTTTATTTTTTTCCAAATAAACCTTTTTTCTTTTCTTTTCTTTTTAACCATCATGATGCACAGTCTGTAATCAAAGGAAAGAAAGAAAGGAAGGAAAGAAGGAGAAAGGAAGAAACAAAGAAAGAAAGAAAGAATAAAAAACAAAACAACACATCTCCCTGAAAGAAAGAAGAAATGTCTTTTTTCCCCACCCAGATATAAATTGGAAGATTTTAAGGCATCATGCAAAGAGTCCTAGGCATGCGAATCAATGTTGAATGAAAGATCAAATAAAAAAAATATAAAGCAGACTTAAAACCAAAGCCTTCTCTAAAAACAAAGGGGTTGAAAAAGAAAAGGAGTATCTTTAAAAAGACGGACAGACATATGCCTTAGAAATTAAACAGAACAGAACAGAACAGAATCCTGCAAGCATAATCCAGCTAAAATTAAGCACTTCTAGTTCCCATTGATTCCAGCAGGGGAGCCTTAAACAGCCATCGCTGACCTGGTTCCCTCCAGATGCCCCCTGCTGGTGGGGGCTGATGGGAGTAGTAGGCCAGAACATCTGGAAGGCACCAGGTTGGCAAAGGATGGTATTTATCGTGCATAGGTTCTTTCTTGAAGAAATCAACAGAGTATAAGGAGGCAATCCTATGCACCAGTAGTCCCCAACCTGGGAAGTCCTCCAGCCTGTTTTGGACGACAACTCCCACCAGCCAACATGGCAAATTGTCAGGGATAAAGGGAGCTGTAGTAGCAACATCTGGAGTGCCACAGGCAGGCACCCAATCCCTAATAACAAACAAATGTCCTGTCTTGCCCTAACTTTGACTGGAAGCCTACTGGAAGGACATAAGGCAGGCCAGTAGTTTCAGCACTATGGGCTGGCCAGTGGTTTCAGCACCATGGAAAGCTCCAAGTGAGCTACTTGCTCCAAGAATGTCTGGGACTTAATTGAAGCCTTCATTGCCTCCAGGGACCAGATCACCCCCTCTGAGACACCACACCTTCCTCAAGGAGTGGAAGGACATACTGCCTGGGACTGATGGGAATTGTAGTTCAAAACATCTGGAAGGCACCAGGTTGAGGAAGGCTGCTGTACACATTATATGAGATTAAATCCCATTTGAAATGCAGTGGGGCTCGATCCCAATTAGATATGGATCAATTGCATGTCCCATTGAAAGGAGTGAGACTTAATTCCTGAGGGAACATGCCTGGAGCCAAGCTGTAGAAGAGCTTAACTTTGGCTGGGGTCTTGCCCTTTTGCGATTGATCTCCATTTCAAATCAATCAATCAATCAATCAATCAATCAACTCTCGACAAGGAGATGGGATGTCTATCACAAACTTTAAAAGAAAAGGAATCTCTTAGGAAATGACATAAAGGAAATCTGGCAGGCAAACTGTAATGCCTTGAAACAATAATCAAAAGAAGAAAATGAAAGAAAACTTTAAGAAAACAAAAAGCAAAAACTCCCTCTGGGAAAAAAAGGTAGACATATATATATATATCTCTTGGTATGGTTTTTTCCCCCTCCTAGAAGGCACAGCTCAGGAATGGGGAACCAATGGACTCCCAGATGCTGCTGGACTACATCTCCCAGAATCCTCAGCAGCCAGAATGGCCAATGGTGGAGGGTGCTGGGATGTGCATTCCTGCGACATCCAGGAGGCCACAGGTTAGTCACCCCTGGTACAGCTCATACTTTCGAGGGACCTCTAGTAATAAACGTCCTAGCATCTTGCGGTTTTCATCCACTTACCAATCAAGATTTCCTCCTTTAGTAGGGTAAGGTGTAAGAAAAAGGGAAGAGTGGGCATCATAAGTCCATCATTAGAGTCTCAAATTACAAGAGAAGATTAAAAAAAAGAAGAATCCACAAACCCTCTCTCTATCTCTCTCCACTCAAGTGTTGGGTGTTTTTGGTTTTTTTTGTCTTGTCCGATTTTAAACAAGCTTTGCCATCGTTCTCTCTCTCTCTCCAAACAATCCCTTTCGAGCTCTTTCCTTTTGGCCACTAGTTTATCTGGGATTTATATGGCATCTATTCACATCATCACCTTTGGCTTTTAATGGTGACCCACGTAAAAAAAATAATAATTAAAAAATCGTTAAAAGGAGAACGGAAATTTTTTTTTTTGGTAAAAAAAAGAGGAAGATTTCCCGCTTTGCTTTTTAGTGAGGACCAAAAGGAAGACATAGGCACTGGCTACAAAGTACAAACACACCTCTTCCTCCCATTGATGCTTTGTGGCTCCCCACAATATCATCAGATCCATGGGGAGACGTTCCTGGGTTCTAGAGCAGCTCATACTAGCCTCCCCTGCAGACTGTCCCAATGCAGATTGCAAGACGTAGCAAACAACTACAACAACCTCCAAATCTCACAAAGCAAGCTGCTTTATACCGAGTCCTTATCTAGCTCAGGACTGTTTTTGCTGTCTGGCAGAATGTGACAGCTGGTGCCCATTGAGACTGCTGGGGAATAAGGCAGGGAGTCCCACAGCACTGGCGGAGGAAGAGGGGTGGGGGGAGCGTACCGCCCCTGGCACCACGATCCTGGTGGGGTGCCATCGTGGTTGCCCTCCCCCTGTGCTGGGCACCACGCCCCCAGGACATGTGCCACGCCCCTGTGGGTGGCACGCCATGCCCCCAGGACATGTGCCACACCCCTGGGATGCATGCCAGTCACGCCCCTGCCTGAGAGCCAGTGTGGTGTAGTGGTTAAGAGCGGTAGATTCGTAATCTGGGGAACCGGGTTCGCTTCCCCGCTCCTCCACATGCAGCTGCTGGGTGACCTTGGGCTAGTCACACTTCTCTGAAGTCTCTCAGCCCCACTCACCTCACAGAGTGTTTGTTGTGGGGGAGGAAGGGAAAGGAGAATGTTAGCCGCTTTGAGACTCCTTCGGGTAGTGATAAAGTGGGATATCAAATCCAAACTCTTCTCCTGCTGCTGCTGCTGCTGCTCTTCACCCCGGTGCCGGAGCGTGAAGCTCCGCCACTGTCCAACAGTAGAGGGCACCAGAGCCAATGACAGGCAGAACCAACTGATTCTGGTTTCCCATCCTCGTCCCTACTGAGTTATGCAAGGGGCAAGACTGAGAGGAAGCTGAAAGCCAGGGCTGCCCCCTGGAGTGGTTGTAAGTGGAAAAACAGGCAGCAGAGATTGAGTCTGGTGGGGGCAGTGCCCCTATCTCCACCTGGCATCCTTGGGCAGCTGTCAGGGCCTTGGGGGTTCCATCTGCCAGGTGGCTGGATATGGAATCTTTCCAGCATTTTAATTACCCACAATACCCCTGTCATCGTGTTGCTACTCCAGGACGTTGTGAGCAATGAAAACTAAAATGGGGCCAGTCATTTGCATTTCCTGCAGTGCCCCAGAATGATGTCACACCAGGGGCGTTGTGGGTAATTAAAGCGGTGGGTGGTTCTCAAAGCCCTTTGCCACAGACCCTTGCCAAGGTGAGGAGGAATGTACCAGGGGACATCCTCAAACAGGGGTTCCTAAAGTGGGTGGTACCATCCCTTGAGGGGGATTACCTAGGGGGTCTAAGAGGCAAGTGGGAAGGTGTAAATGGCTATCAGACTTTGAAAAGCTGGTATTATGGGATGAAGTACATTAATTTTGTTGACTTAATAATAACACATAATAATAATTTTATCATTTGCACTCAGCCTACGTGACTGAGTTGCCCCAGCCACTCTGGGCGGCTTCCAACAGATATAAACACATGAGAAAACATCAAACATTAGAAACTTCCCTATACAGGGCTGCCTTTAGATGCCTTCTGAAAGTTGTATGGTTATTTATCTCCTTGACATCTGGTGGGAAGGGGCATTCCACAGGGTCTCTGCCTGGTTCCCTGTAAACTCACTTCTTGTAGTGAGGGAACCGCCAGAAGGCCCTTGGAGCTGGACCTCAGTGTCCGGGCTGAACGGTGGGGGTGGAGACGCTCCCTCAGGTATACAGGGCTAAGGCCGTTTAGGGCTCTAATTACTCAAACCAAATGGTTCGTACTGGATTTTGAATAAATGTGCAATTAAGGGCTACTTGCTTTGAATTTTGTCGTGTTATCACCTTCCTTAGCAGGGGTGCCAACTTGAATAAAATATTGGGGGAGGAGGCAGGTAAGCTCTGCCCTGCATAATCCACAAGATGCGGTACATGCCCACCTTCTGAATGGCAATGTCCATCAACTTTGGGGGTCCCCGGTCCCCTCAAATATTATATGGGGGCGGCGGTGAAGAAACCTCGGCCCCTGGGAGTTGGCTCCTACGTTCTTTAGTGGGTTGTGCAGACTGCTATTCTGAGTACAGTCATACCTTGGTTTTCAAGCAGCTTAGTTCTTGAATGTTTTGGCTCCCAAACATTGCAAACCTGGTAGTGAGTGTTCCGGTTTGTGAACTATTTTTGGAAGCTGAACATCCGATGCAGCTTACGCAGCTTCCTATTGGTTGCAGGAGCTTTCTGCAGCCAATAGGAAGCCGCGCCTTGGTTTCCGAACATTTTGGAAGTCGAACGGACTTCTGGAATGGATTCTGAGAACCAAGATACGACTGTGATGCTTTTTATAGGTCAGGGTAGGGGGAACGGGGGGATGAGTTTATGGAACCAAGAAAAAGTTTCAGAGCAGCTACCCTACACTATCTGCATATAAACAAACTGAAATATTTACTCATTTAATGTGGGGCCTGGGAACTAACCCTCAGACCAATGTGCCACAGTTGCTGCGCAGACACCTTCTGCCATTCATTCTCAAACGCGTTAATTTCACGGTGGGTGCCTTGTTTGATATCGCTTTGCTTAGATCTCTATCTAGGTGAAACGATGGAGATTGCTCGGTTCTCCTGTCAAGAGAACATTGCTGTTACCGTTTTGCCGCCAGGCCATGGGTCTGTGAGATAGGCAAGAGTCCTGCAGGGGAAATTTCACTAAGCCTACTTACTCTTATCAAAAGTCCCATTGAACTCTGCAGGACTTAACTTCTAACTAAATATATTTGGGATCAGGCTGTTTGCAAGTTTTCTGGTCGGGTCAAAACATTATTTAATTGAAGTGGGAGGAGGAGAAAAGAAAGGCTCGTACCTCGGGCTTCAATTTCCGCCGAATGCTTAGCTCATGAAGCAGGGTAGCCCAATAGGTTACAAAAGTATAATTGCAGCGAATTTTCCAATTAAACTGAACAAGCCTATTTGGTGTGCTTTAAATGCCTCCTTGGAGAGACGTTGCTATCAATTTTCTCAACCATATGGAACCAGCAATTTTTGCAGCGCGCTTAAGAAACCTCTCTCTTTCTGGGGGGTCTTTCTTGTGTTTTAAAGCTCCAACTTCAAAGTCAGAATATCCTTCCCTTCCAGGAGGTGCCTGGCGGCGGAACGAGCCTGCACAAATCCACAGATTTTCTGCATGAAGTCCCAGATTTCTCTTTGGCTGTTCTTTCCTTTACTCTCCCATACAACACTCCCACCCCACCCTGAAAGCGTGCACATCTATTATCAAAATGTGAGTGACAGCCGCCAGCTTGGTTGGTTTCAGAAAAGGAGCCGGCAAATCCACGGAGGATATGGCTATCGATGGCTGCTGGCCACAGTTGGAAGAGCCCGCTGGATCAGGCCAATGGCCCATCTAGTCCAGCATCCTTTGCTCACGGTGGCCGACCAGATGCCTGTGGAAAACCAGCAAGCAGGATTCGATCACAAGAGCCCTCTCCCCTCCTGTGGTTCCCAGCAACTGGCATTCAGAAGCATCGCTGCCTCCGACTGTAGAGGCAGAGCATAGCCATTGTGGGTAGTAGCTATCGACAGCCCTCTCCACCATATTGGAGGCAGTGTGCTTCTGACTACCCAGTGCTGGAAACTGTGGGATGTACAGTGAGGGGGGGGAAAGTATTTGATCCCCTGCTGAATTTGCCCGTTTGCCCTCTGACGAAGAAATGACCAGTCCATAATTTTAATGGTAGGTTTATTGTAGCTGTGAGAGACAGAATAACAAGAGGAAAACCCCCAGAAACCCAGAAGACAAAAGTCAGAGATTGATGTGCATTAGAATGAGTGAAATAAATATTTGACCCCTTTGCAAAAGATGACTTAGTACTTGGTGGCAAAACCCTTGTTGGCAATTACAGAGGTGAGACGTTTCTTGTAGGTGGCCACCAGGCAAATTTAGCAGGGGATCAAATACTTTCCCCCCTCACTGTAAAACTGCAGTCAAGTACAACATTCCTCCAGTGGACATGTCAGGGGATGTTTTGTACCACTCAGGAGAATACTTCCTGTTTCCTCCTGAGCTGGGACAGACTTCCACCACATGTGGCTTGAAGAGGGTGTGGTCTGTTGTACTAGCATGGAGGAGCACATGGCCTCCACGTTCTGATCAGTGTGTGTTCTCCATTTTGTATGTCGCTGTGTGTTTGGAGAAGTGACTGCTTAGTCGCAGTCACTTGGGACTAACTTCTTTATGGAATAGTTCTAGTTGTTATGTAACCTAAGCCTGCCTATCTGTGAACCTGAATGAATCTGCGAGTAAACTACTTTTATATTAACGTTAATCAGATTCACGTGTTGATTCTTTTTAAGAGGAATTAGAAGGGATTTTACCAGGAAGGAATCTTTAACAGTAAGACTCAGATGAGTCAGCAACAAGCTGATCGCTACGTAATTTTAAAAGGGGGAAATTTGGAATTCTGCTAGAATATGGAACTTGCTAACGCAAGTTAGGAAGGATATCATTAATATATCCTCTCCTGCCTCCCTAATCATCCCCACAGAAACCACAGCAAGGGAGAGTACTGTTGTGCTCAGGTCCTGTTTATGGGCTTCTCAGAAAAGTCACCTGGTTGCCCACCATGAGAACAGAATGCCAGACTAGATGTGCCATTCACCTTGAATCAGCAGTGCTCCTCCTAATCCTCCTCCTCATCTTACATGCAATATCTGTAAAAAACAGCAACAATAAGATGACCTCCTGTTTGGCGAAGAGCCTTCTCCATCTGCTAATCTGGCCATAGGCTTATTCAGAATCTTGAGAAGCCGCCTGCAATTTTAAGTTCCCACAATGTTCCAGAGGATGGCTGCATCAGCCGTTCCAAAGCACTGTGGGAAATTCAAAGCGATAGGTGGTTTCCTGGTGCCTGCTGTTGCTAGGCAACCGTGCGGGGCTTGTAGGCCACATGTCGACAACAGTAAGCCATGTCAGTGTGCTGGAATGCCAAAGCTGTCCAGATCAGGGTTAGCCTTCCAATGCTGTGGACTACAACTCCCATCATCCCTGAACATTGGTCATGCTGGCTGGGGCTCACAAGAGTTCCCAAAGTATCTAGAGGGCGCCGTGCCAACTTTCCCCGGTCCAGACCTAGATCTGAACTTTCCCCTGCCGCAGCTCAAGTTTAATTGTGTGTGTTTTTTTTAAAAAAATTAACTCAATTAGTGCTTTTGCTATCAAGCCTCCCCAGGAGGCATCTTGATTAAATTTAATGGGCAGTGGAATAATAATGCTTAACAATGAGTGTTCAGACAAAGTATAGCAACAGCAACTATCTCCATAGTTTTCCTCTAAGGCTACCCTTAGGAACAGACAACCCTTGGTCATAGAGTGGGGAGGCTGGTTGCCTTTCTCTCCTTTGATGCTCAGCTTACTGTATTTTTCGCTCTATAGGACGCACCCGACCATAAGACGCACCTTGTTTTAGAGGGGGAGAACAAGAAAAAAATTTCTCTCCCTCTCTGCGCAGGGGGAGGTGAAACAGAGCCCCTTCCATTTCTCCTCCCACTTCGCTGAAGGGGTGCTGCGCAGAGAAGGAAAGCTGCGCAGCACCTCTCCAGCAAAGCGAAGCCAGGAGAGCAAGAGGGATCGGTGTGCACCGACCACTCTCGCTTTCCAGCCTTCAGGAAAAGCAACGCAAAGCCTCTGGAGCGCAGTGGGAGTTCCCGCCACGCTCCTGAGGCTTTGGGTTCCTTTCGCTGAAACCGAGAGTGTCTTGCTCTCCTGGCTTCAGCGAAAGGAACCTGAAGCCTGGAGAGCGAGAGGGTTCGAAGCCTCCCGAGCGCTCTCCTGGCTTAGCAAAAGCAACGCAAAGCCTCCGGAGCACGACGGGAGCGCTCCCACTGCGCTTCGGAGGCTTCGTGTTGCTATCGCTGAAGCCATGGAGCCTGCATTCGCTCCATAACACACACACACATTTCCCCTTAATTTTTGTAGGGGGAAAAGTGCATCTTATAGAGCAAAAAATACGGTAATTCTATTGGATCTGACGTTTACAAAGATCCACTGGAAAAAGTGGTTTGTGCTCTCCCTCCCTTTCTATCTCTCTCTGGAGGAGAAAGTGGCTTTGTGTGTGTGGCTCATTTAGGAAAGGAAGTGAGCAGAAGGGGGGGCACCCAAGGCACTTGCTCAAAAATCCAAACCTGCTCATTAACTGAAAGAGGTGGGTGACCCCTCTTTCAACTGCTACTCAATATGTTAACTATGTTAAACGTTCAGAGTGAGTCATAAATAGGAGTAGGTGACTCTGTCTCTTTCAATTTCTCGTTTTTCCAATCTTCAGCTCTCCACATCAGCTTGCATTAAAAAGAAAGAAATCCTCATGAAAATTCACCAACATTTAAGGGCACATTTATCCTAATATGCTCATTTTTAAAATGCAATTTTGCATAATATACACTTTATTTTTTGCAAAACAATGTCCCCATAAAACATTGAATTTTTGTGTGTTACTGCAAAATAGGTAGATAATTTTTAATGGACACTTTATCCCAGGATATGAACATAAGAACATAAGATAATAAGAAGAGCTTGTCGAATCAGGCCAATGGGCCATCTAGACCAGCATCATGTTCTCCCAGTGGGCAGCCAGATGCCTCTTGAGAAGTCTGCTAGCAGATTCAAGCACGAGAGCAACTCTCCCTTCCTTTGGTTTCCAGCAGCTGGTATTCAGAAGCATTTCTCCCTGTGAGCATGCAGGCAGAGCATAGCCGCCACGGCTAGTAGCTTTTGATAGCCTTCACAAATTTATCAAATCCTCGTTTGAAGCCATCCAAGTTGGTGACCACCACTGACGCAATTTCTTCTACCTGTCCCAAACCTTCCAACATTCAGCTTCAGTGGATGCCCGTGAGTCCTAGTATTATGAGAGACTTTTCTCTATTTCTCCATATCATGCATCATTTAGAAACTTCTGTCATGTCAGCTTTTACTCGCCTGCACTCTAAACGAAGAAATCCCTTACATCTCAACCTCTCCTCATTGAGGGGTCACTCCACCCCCTTGATCATCTGAACCTGCCCCAACTCTAGAAGATCCTTTTTTGAAGTGAGGCCACCAGACCTGCACACCAAGTGTGGTTTGCACCATCAATATACATTTTTGTACACATCACTTGACTGGAGAACTTGGCTTTGCAAAATTCAGAGAGGCGCAAATTCTGAAGGATGGCTGCATTTCAGTTCTCCTATTGCAGATTCACCTTTAATTTCAAACTGAATCAAATTCCTCCCCTGTCTCCAGCACACATCGCCTAAAACAGAAGGCTGTGCTTTTCATGCAACACAGCTTCCTTCTTCTAGCATCCCTTTCAAAGTACAAAGGTTCTGCTTGTAAACCTACCTATGAGAAGCTACTGCAGAGAAACTTCTACACATAGGGGGCAGAAGTGCCCAGATTTCACACACAGCGCTGTTTCCATTTTGCTGCAGTTCATATTCTGCTAAAAACCATGCTATTTGTCTGTCGTCCCCAGTGGCAAAATTACGTATGCAATGTACAAAATCAGTCACATACATTCCGTAAGTTACTTTGCCATTATATCATTTGCAGACTGAAAGCAACAACAAAAATGAATACTGATTGTTTTTGCTGGATCAATTTCCAATACAGACATGGAACAAATAAGGAAACACCAGCAATTTCCGCTCTCATTTTTGGTTTTGTTGCAACGCTCTTACATCCCTACTTCTGAGTCTTTTTAGTTTCTATGCCTGAGGGCAGGGCCCACCTCTCTCTGTCTCTGTCCCCGTCTCTCTTGTTAATGTGAGCCACTTTGGGCCCTGCCATTGGGTAGTTTGAGATGACAACCTCAGGTGGCATATACTGTAGGATGGCAGCAAAATATTGAGCTGTGTACACCACATGGCCTGCCCTGTGCCTGCTGCCCTCAGGTGTGATAAAGGATGCTATCCTGTCACTGGTGTTAAAGGCTAGTCTGTTGGTGTACAAGGAATGGGGGTGGCATCTTCTCGCCCTTTGCCTCAGGCAGCAGAATGTCATGGGCCAGCCCTGATGTAGGGCAACAATATTTGTTTGAAATGCTACACACACACACACACACACACACACACTAAATAAATAAATACATTTTTGAGAGTATGCACTTTGAGAGTATGAGGCCATGTAGATTCCCTACATGGGATGTGGGTGGTGCTGTGGGTTAAACCACAGAGCCTAGGACTTGCCGATCAGAAGGTCGGCAGTTTGAATCCCCGTGACGGGGTGAGCTCCCGTTGCTTGGTCCCTGCTCCTGCCAACCTAGCAGTTCAAAAGCATGTCAAAGTGCAAGTAGATAAATAGGTACCGCTCCGGCGGGAAGGTAAATGGCATTTCCATGCCCTGCTCTGGTTCGCCAGAAGCGGCTTAGTCATGCTGGCCACATGACCCGGAAGCTGTACGCCGGCTCCCTCGGCCAATAAAGCGAGATGAGCGCCGCAACCCCAGAGTTGGTCACGACTGGACCTAACGGTCAGGGGTCCCTTTGCCTTTACCTAGATTCCCTACACATTCACTTGAATGCTTTGATTTAGGGAAGTGGGGGTCTCCGGATGTTGGGGTCCAAATGCAGCTGTCCAGACCTCTCTCACCTGGCCCTTGAGAATCTCCTTGGACCACACCCTTCTTCATAGACCACACCCCTCACTAGCTCTGCATCACACACCCACACACCCAAGTAATCATCATCCCTGGCTGGATCTGTGTCTGATAATGCCTCTCGCTTACCTGGTTGGAGGACAGGAGAGGGTTTTGTGTGAGTGTAGAAACCAACCTACTGAAATTTACATCCATTGCTCTGCCTGCTTTTACATCTGGCCCCACCCACTATTAGCATGTGGCCCCTGGAGCGTAGCCGAGAAGGAAACATGGCCCTTGGCTGAAGAGGGTTCCCCACTCCTACTCTAACACCTACACAAGAATGCTTGTTTGCTTGCTTTATATAAAAAAAAGGGATCCTAGCAAAAAAGCAGGCACATTAAATTAACACTGCATGGCAGCTCCTCTGTCTGGCTTGGAGGTGGAGAAAAGGCAAGCCTTGGTGCCAGAAGTAGATGCATCCAGGCAGGCCTTGAGCACAAACAAACCCGGCCTTGAGCTCACAGTGATTGCTGTGCCCAAGCCAGCCCTGTTACGTCTGTGCATTCAGAGGAAGGATGCCCCCGGGAGCCGGCTGCCCATTTTCTCCTCTGATGCTCGCAAGGCGTCTATTAGCATCCATGGGAGCAGCCACGGGGCCTGTTTGTCGAGAGTCCTCCAGCATCCCCCTTCGTCTCTCGCCACCCTTGCACCTCCACTCCCACCCGATTCAATGCAAATGTTGCTTTTTAAAAAACAGGTTTAATCTTGCGTGCCTCCGAGGACCGAACTGCCTGGGTGCAAGAGGCAGCAAATCCACGGAGCGGAAGAGGCATGCTACAGAGACACCCGTGTAAAATATCATCGCTGGAGGCCACTGCCTTGGTAAATGTCTCCCCTGTATTATTCATGGGCTGCAGCCTAAGCAATCTCTCGTCCTCCATCCCCCCCCCCCGCCGTCCCATCCTCCGCCCTCCCTTTCTCCCCACCCTCTGTGCAAAAAACTGCACGCTCTCCATACATCAGAGAGCCACGCCGTTAATAATGCATCAAGCCTTCAAACCGACTTTTAGTATAACATGCCTGTAATTGAGTCATAAACATTGCATAATGGATCCTCGGGGCCTTAAACCAAGGGGCAAAGCAGATAGGGGGATACTTACAGCTTCCATGGAGGGAAGCAAGCCATCGTTCTGGGGGGTGCAGCTGGGGAAAGGAGTGGTGGTCAGCTCTGTAGTGCCATCGGGCTTCCAAGGGCTCTTCAAGGAATGCCGGGAGTGTTTCCATCTTGCTTTGCGGCCTTCCTCCCGTGACCTGGCTCCCGGCCTGGAGGGAGAAGGGGGGTGGCTCCTACTTAGGAAGATGCCTCATAGCATCAGGACGAAGAAGAATTGTGGGAGGCGCTAGCCAGGGAACCCCCCAAGGGAACCCCCAGAGGAGGAAGGTTCAGAGCCAGGGGATTGGTGGCGGGACACTGAGGAGAGGTCAGAGGGAGAAGATTGGGAGGAGGTGCCGGATGCCGAAAGGGAAACAGGGTTTAGTGAGCAGGAGGAGCCTGTGACAGGGAGCAGTTCAGACTCCGAGGCTGAAGTGGAGGGGGGGGTGTCAAGAGACTGCTGAGTCCAAGGAGTCTCCCTTTCCTGCTGCGACAAGCTCCCCTCCCGCTGATCTCCCAGAACACGCAAAATAACGAGGAGAGCAGAACAGAGGCTAGAGGTGAGCAGACACAGTTTGAGATTGCTTGTGAAATCTCTGGGAGAGAAGGAGCCTTTGAAGGGGTGGAAGGCAGGTGAAATATACTCGGAATCAAGAGTGGATTTTATGCTCTTTATTCAGCTCATAGTGGTGAGGAAGAATGGAAGTTCCCCCAGAATGTCTGCTTTATAGACATTATTTACACAATGGGCCCCACGTGATTGGCTAATTCCGGGATTCTCCTGTAGGCCAATCAGGTTGCGGATTCACTTCCACCTGGAGCTGGATTGGGTGACTCCTGTGGACCAATCAGACTGCTGCATTCTGGATCCTATTGTTCTAGGACCAGACTGCTGCATTCTGAATCCTGTTGTTCTAGGACCAATCAGACTGCTGCATTCTGAATCCTGTCGGTCTAGGACCAATCAGACTGCTGCATTTTGGATCCTATTCAACTCAGAACATAACAGCAGGGACCTTCAGTCCTGGAAACTGCTCCATAGGGACAAGACCTACTGGGAAGTGTTGCTGAATTGTATAAGACCCTGACCATTAGGTCCAGTCGTGGCCGACTGGGGTTGCGGCGCTCATCTCACTTTATTGGCTGAGGGAGCCGGCGTATAGCTTTCGGGTCATGTGGCCAGCATGACTAAGCCGCTTCTGGTAAACCAGAGCAGCGCACGGAAACGCCGCTTACCTTCCCGCCGGAGCGGTACCTATTTATCTACTTGCACTGGCATGCTTTTGAACTGCTAGGTTGGCAGGAGCAGGGACCGAGCAATGGGAACTCACCCCGTCACAGGGATTCTAACCGCCAACCTTCTGATCGGCAAGTCTTAGGCTCTGTGGTTTAACCCACAGCGCCACCCGCGTCCTGCTGAATTGTATACTGTCTCCTTGAATAAAGAGGATTTCATATAGGGTTCTCTTCCAAACTTACATAGAGGTGCCACTAGCCCTTTCCTTGAGACAGTGGTTTTCAGCCAGTGTGCTGTGGCACCCTGGGGTGCCTTGAATGATTGTCAGGGGTGCTGACAGCAATACCAGCCTCTGTTGCTCTTTCCTTCCCTCCCTCCTCTGATGCCCTCTCAAGTCTCTGCTTCCCAAAGGCTTGCACAGCTGTTTGTTGCAGCAGCCCTGGCTACAAGCTCCGCAGGTGAATGGTGCCTCTGTGGGGCAGTGTGGGGCAGGCCACTGTGGGGCAGTGTGAGGAGGCACCTCTCTTTGGGGCGGGGGGGGGGCAGATCAAAGACCTAGGATGGCAGCCGTGGCCGTCCGGAGGACTCCCAAGGAGATGGGAGAGGAGGCTGAGTGACCACTCTACAAGGGAGGGTGTTTGAAAAAGGGTGAGAGGCTGCCAGCTCTGCAGGCAAGGGGTGACATAACAGGGCTCCTGAGCCCCACAGGGATGTCGAAGGAAGAATGTGGTTGGTCCAGGGAGTTGTGGACCCAGAAAGGTTGAAAACCTCCTATGCCTTAAGACATAGGTAGACAGGAAGCTGCCTTGCACTGAGTTAGACTGCTGGTCCCTCTAGCTCAGTATTGTCAGCACTGACTGGCAGCAGCTCTCCAGGGTTTTAGACAAATAAATAAATAAATTCCCAGGTAAGATTCTTACCTGCTTCCACAGCTCTCTGTGAGGGAATTGGTGCTCTCTGAGCCAGAGCGGCAGCGGCGATGGCGGCGGCGTTGGGATTTCTGTGACTGACTGCGAGAGCTTTTGAAAAAGAAGACAGAAAAGCAGAACACCTTAACATTCACCTGCAGGCGGAAAGCCGTTTTTGAAAGGTCCATGGAGCGTTGGGAGATGTAGCCAGAAAATACAGCTGGGAAATGGCAGCTCATCAGTTGTAGGGCTAAATGAAAACAGCTCTCCGAAAGCCTCTGCAATGGACTTCCCTAACCTGGTTGTCAGACTACAACTCACCTCGTCCTTGACCACTGGCCCTGCTGGCTGGGGCATATGGGAGTTATAATCCAACAACATCTGGATGGGAAGTGGTTTACGGAAGGCTGTGACATGGAATTCCTGTCAAATTGGTTTATCAGTGAGCCCAGTGTCACGTACGCAAGAATCCGACCTGACTGCAAATCTTGTAAGAACCAGCTAAGGAGGAACCTAATGGCAGAACGCTGCAGTAAATTGGAAAACAACTCCTTATAAGGTACAAGGAGGGTTGTAATATGTACAGTAACAAAATTGGGTTGAGTAAGTGTTTTCAAGGACTGTGGTTGTATGGCAGATGGTGTGGTGCTGGGGTGGGGTGGGGGCAAAAAGATATATATTTGGTCATATAGTGTGTGTCCTAAGGGAAATGCTCTGGCAGACTCTTAGAACTCTGTCCTGTACTGAACAATGTTTGACTAATTGAAAATTTGGTGCGAGCCCCCATACTTGACCCCTGCAAGGGGAATTTCTGCCGCAGCTGCTCCACAATATTTACAGGCAGCAGAATTGTGGGAAGAAGGGTGTTATGTACTGAAGTTCTCACCCTGGGCCAGCAGGGGGTTACTGTAGATAGTTATGCAAATAAGGGGTCGAAAGTGACGTTCAGTGATTGGATAGTTTTAGAAAATTGTTACAGTTACATTGTACTGGAGCTCTATATAAGCAGGCTGATTGAACCCTTCAGTTCAGTTCTGTTCTGGCCTGTGAATAAACAAGAGCTGTTTGAAGAATCGCTGTGTCGTCTGATATGTTCACCCACAACTTAACAAAAGGAATTTGATTGAAAACATCTCTGGGAAGTGGTTTTATATCTATATCTCTCTATCTCTATCTCTATCTATCTATCTATCTATCATCTATCTATCTCTATCTCTCTCTCTATATTTATCTATCATGTATCTATCTATCTATCTATCTATCTATCTATCTATCTATCTATCTATCATCATCTATCTAATCTAATCTATCTATACCCATTTCCCCCCCCGAAAAAAATCTTTTCCGAAAGATTTTGTAGAATCATAGAACTGTAGAGTTGTAGAGCCCTTCTAGGGCTATTGGGTCCAACCTGCTTGGGGTCTCTTCCACACACACATGAGACGACTCCGGTAGTTGATTATTTCAGGTTTATTGTTCATTACAAAGCCCCGGTCGGAGCTCCGCTAATTCAGTCATCCTCTGACGAAAGCGTTGCCAGAACTGAGCTCCTCCCCCTTCTCCCCCAACAGGAAAAACCCCACTTTCTCTTCCTGTTAATTTCGCGCTTCTCGGCTAATCTTGTGATTCTACGAGATTTGGGAGATGGCACTCCCTGTATTCCTGTGTCTGTGTCACTATCTGAGCTTAGCTTCTGTGTTCCTTCTCCTTGTGTCTCTGTGTGTAGAAAGTTCATATTCCTGCGGATAACTGCTTCTTCCCCTTCCCTCAGTAATTCCTCAATTCTTCCCCCTTGTCTTTCTGTGTCTGCTGTCAGAGAGAGACTTGCTCTGGCACAACCCCTGCAATTGCAACAAAAGAATTCCACCGCTGAACAGCTCTTACCACCAGAAAATTCTTCTTAATGTTTCATCAGAATCGCCTTTCTTGTCATTTGAAACCTATGGTTTGGGTGCTACCCACCAGAGCAGCAGAAAACAAGCTTGCTCCATCTCCCATGTGACAGCCCTCCAGATATTTGAAGATGGCTCTCATATCTCCTCTCCTTTTCATCTGTATACCTGTATACCTGAAGGAGTGTCTCCAACCCCATCGTTCAGCCCGGACACTGAGATCCAGCTCCGAGGGCCTTCTGGCGGTTCCCTCATTGCGAGAAGTGAGGTTACAGGGAACCAGGCAGAGGGCCTTCTCGGTGGTTGCGCCCGCCTTGTGGAATGCCCTCCCACCAGATGTCAAGGAAATAAGCAGCTATCCTATCTTTAAAAGACATCTGGAGGCAGCCCTGTTTAGGGAAGTTTTTAATATTTAATGCTGTATTGTTTTTAACACTTGATTGGAAGCCGCCCAGAGTGGCTGGGGAAACTCAGCCAGATGGGCGGGGTATAAATAATAATAATAATTAATAATAATAATAATCATCATCATCATCATCATAATCATCATCATCTCACTTAATGTTGAATGAGACCCTGCTGTTAGTTCGTATTGATGAGCAAGGAATGGGTTGAAAGAGGAATGTTGAACAGAATAAGCCCATCGATTCCTTCAGTATTAAAATAATGTCAAACAATATTACAGCTGGATCCACAGTTGTACCCAAAGTTCACAGAAATGGAGTTGGCCACTTTGCCCCATATTCTCTAGGGGAGGACTGAAATTCCCCAGTGCTTTAGTGGTCATCTGTCAAGTAAGCGGTATATAAGTTTTGTGAACCAAATAAAACCATTTTTCGGTCTGCTTTTTCTCCTGAAGGAGCCCAGTGCAGTCACACAGCTATAGGAGCCAACTCCAGGGGGCTGTGGGTGTACCGTATTGGCCCGAATATAAGCCGCACCCGAATATAAGCGGCACCTTTAAAATTGGAGTGCTGAAAAAAAAAGAAAAACCCGAATATAAGCTGCTCCCTTCCTCGCTGCTCCTGGCTGCATACTGGGCGGGGAGCTGAGCTGCGTTGCTAGCTGCCTTTCCCCTTCCTCGCTTTCTCCCTTCCCGCCCTTGGGGGAGAGGACAGGGGAACTACGCACAGGGCGGGAACTGCTTTGCCATGCTCCTGGCGCTGTTTGCCCCATGCTCCTGGCTGCATACAGTAAGGTCGCGAATATAAGCCATACTTTAACTTTTCACGATCGGAATTTGGGGGGAAAGTGTGGCTTATATTCAGGCCAATACGGTAATATATCGTACTTTTCGCTCCATAAGGCACACCTGACCATAAGGCACACCTAGTTTTTAGAGGGGGGGATTCAAGAAAAAAAGGGAGCGCTGAGCAGAGCCTGTCTGCATCCCAGGCTCTGCTCAGTGCTCCCTTTCTCATGAGCCGCGTGGAGTGTGTGTGTGGCTCTTGGGGCCTTTTCCCCGAGGAGGGAGAAGGGCAGCCCATCACTGACAGCCCATCACTGAGCTTGTGTGTGGCTCTTGGGGGCTTTTCCCGCCTGCCTCCCCCCTGAATTCGCACCATAAGACGCACACACATTCCCCCTTACTTTTTAGGAGGGAAAAAGTGCGTCTTATGGAGTGAAAAATATGGTAATTGTGGGGGCCACCAGGGGCGTCTTACCCATAGAGGCTAGTGGCTCGGGGTGCCAAGGCACCAAGTTCTGGAGGGCGCTAGGGAAGAGGCAGAGGCTGGACGCGGTGCCTCCCGGCATCAGCTTGCCACCTTTGCCCGCCTCCGCCATGCTGCGCTGAAGCAGGGCCGCGCCCGGAGCCTCTGTCTGCTGTGGCCACTGTGGCACGAAGTGGCCAGCTGAGCCAGGAGCCACCGCATCCAGCCTCCACCTCTTCCCCACCGAAGGAGCCGCCCTTCAGCCACTGCCCACCTCCTCCAGCCCCGCCAGCAGTGCTGTCCTCTCTAAAAAAACTCTGGGAAATGGGGGGGGGGAGCGGAGGGAGCTTTGCACCATGGTGCTGGCTATGCTTAAGACGGCCCTGGGGGCCACACACCCACAAAGTCATTGAACCAAGCCGGCAGGTGGCAGTGGCATTGCCTTTGAGAGAGAAGCAGTTCAGCTCCATCCTCTGCTATTAACACTTATAAACGCCATCTCCAACTCCTTGAAAGATTCCATCAATGGAGTCTCCGAAAAATTTTACACGTCACTTGGGAAGACAGGCGAACTTATACCAGTGTACTGGAAGAAGCAAAGATCACCAGTGTTGAAGCAATGATTCTTCAACATCAACTTCATTGGACTGGTCATATTGTGCAGATGTCTGATGATCGTCTTCCAAAGCAACTACTCTATTCCGAACTTAAAAATGGAAAGTGTGGTGCTGGTGGTCAACAAAAGAGGTTTAAAGACTGTCTCAAGGCAAATCTTAAAAAATGTAGTATAAACACCGACAATTGGGAAACACTGGCCTGCGAGCACTCCAGTTGGAGAACAGCCTTTATCATGCAAAATGACATCACATGCATGCACAGAAGCGCCAAATCGCATCACGCGCGTGCGCAGACGCGGCGCTTCAGGCTGCGAACACTGTGGGTTGCGAACGTGCCTCCTGCACGGATCACGTTTGCGACCCGAGGTATGACTTTATTTCTATAAAATGGATTTTTCTTTCTTTCTTTTGGGACATGACTACCTCTCCTTTTTTTTTTTTTTTAAGCTTAAGAGCTTACTTGAGCCAACGACACCCACCCACCAATGTACGCACCAATTTGCATGCATGCGCAAATCAACCACGAACGCTGGTGCATTCATAGCGACTGCCTCCACTTACTGTTTCTTGTGTTTTCTTCCTTCCTTCCTTTTGCCTTTGGGGCTTGGGGAACTAAATAAGAGGGGGGGGGGGGAAAGAGTATAAGCTAATGAACGGGCAACTGACCATTCGATTTAGAGAGCTGGTAAAAGTTCAACGGGGGCATGTAAACCTGTAGGAGCGCCACCGTGCTCGTTTATTTATTTATTTTTATTTCACACAATTTATATACCATTGATGGTAAACATCCCCCCCCCCAAAAAAACCCCATACCCTCAGAGCAGTAAAACCATAAAATTAGCAATAAGAACAATTAAAAACAACTATTTGGAACAGGGGTCAGCAAACATTTTCAGCAGGGGGCTGGTCTACTGTCCCTCAAACCTTGTTGGGGGCCAGACTATATTTTGAAAATAAAAATAAAAATGAACAAATTCCTATGACCCACAAATAACCCAGAGATGCATTTTGAATAAAAGCACACATTCTACTCATGTAAAAACATGCTGATTCCCGGACCATCCGTGGGCCAGATTTAGAAGGCGATTGGGCCGGATCCAGCGCCTGGGCCTTAGTTTGCCTACCCATGATTTGGAACATTTAAAAAAAACCCTGAAACAAGTGGTGAACTAAAAAAAGGCATTAAAACACTGGGGAAACACTGTTTTGGGTGGGCTTATCTAAACAAAAACGTTTTTAGCCCAATGTCAATGCACAGGGAGTTCCAAAGTGCGGGTTCTGCCACATTAAAGATGAATTTCTTACAAAAGCTAACATGCCGTGGCATCAGATCATTACCCAAAATGGTCCTTTGGCAGGAGCAGTGGAAGAATGCTGAAACTAGGGTCAGCAACTAGGGGCCTTCTCCATTAGATCTGGTTGAACCAAAATGGTTAACTTCCACTGACCACTGGTGAGCTGGTTCAGCCTGTGATTCTAGAATTATTCCAGACAGTTTAGGCAAGTTTTCCCCAAGTTTTTCACTATCCTTACCTGTGTCTTCTCTTCTTTGATGAAAACCTGGAACATAAAATGCAAAATATTAATATTAAAATATAAATGATTAAACCAGGCAAGAGCATCACCGGCAGAATCAGCAAATATTTTGTGGGAAAACCAACCTCAGATAACCAACATACTTAGGCCTAATTAATTCTTGAAAGGGTTAATGGAATAGAGTAAGCTATCCTGCCCGGCTTAGCTGAGGCCACTTCCCCTCACCCTGGGAGGCAGAAGGTTACCAAGCCTTACCAGTCGACTTAAGAAGCTGAACTTGTGAAGAAGTTTGAGCTGGTTGCTCCAGTTCAGCCACATGGCTCTCATCAGCCACTCTTCTGTTCCTATACTAATAATTTAGGAACTTTTACCACTTTGTAACTAAGCTACGTTTTGCTGCCTGTGCAGATGTATGGAATAGCACATGAACAAGACCTTTGGAGAGTTTGTAAGTAAACCAATTTTTAACTTACCAAATATGTGGCTTTTTCTTACGCTGGGGGAAGTGGGAAACTTTGGAAGGAACTTGATCTCATGGTTGGCACATTCCTCCTAAATATGATTTTATCTCTATTTATGAATACTTAATAGTGTTACAAAAGTTGGGGGCCGCCCCCTTTCTCTGCCGAGCAGTGGCAAGAGGCCATGAGGTTCCGGGAACTCACGCAGGATCTGTGTTCCTTTGGAGAACTGAGACACAGCAGAGACCGCTGTAGCTTTAAGAAATAAGGTTTATTCCCCGATTTACGCCTTCGGTCTGCATGGAGGGAGTCCCGATCTTATAGCATGCTTATTTCAAGAGGGGCTTGTACCCCACAGCAGTGTAGCCTTGGGGTCCAAGGCCTCTCTCCCAGCCAGCAAGCAGCCATCCTGCCCAAGATGGATCCCATTCCTTCTTCTCCTTTCTTCTCCCCTGCAGAACCCCTTGCTAAGAAACTCTCTTTTTCTGTCACCTCACACCCAGTTATCCTGGCAACCTTCCAAATCCGCAGTCTCTGTTCACACCTCAGGGCAAAGAGGGACTTCCCTTACATTGCTAATGGCCCTCAAGGGCCCTGTATTGTTTCTTCCTGGCCCTAGCTTGGCCAGGTCATTTTGCATAGGCTAGTCCATTCCTCTGCAGCTTGCACTTCTTCCTTCCCATCCCAAATCATCAAAATCTTACCATTTATTAATATCTAAGGTTTAGGAAAGAGGGTCCCCCCAAACCTATAAGAATTTATTTTGTATCAATACGAAACTTGCATCCCAACATGGAATATATTTTATGCTATTCATTAGTTTTTAAGTTCTTTTAAAAATGTACCGTATTTTTCGCCCTATAGGACGCACTTTTTCCCCTCCAAAAATGAAGGGGAAATCTGGGTGCGTCCTATGGGCTGAATGCAGCTGCTGAAGCCTGGAGAGCGAGAGGGCCGGTGCGCACCGACCCCTCTCGCTCTCCAGGCTCCAGGAAGCTATCCGCAAGCCTTGTGCACCCGGGCGGCAGCCTGCAGCGCAGAGCACGGGGCGCCCTTCGGAGGATGCCCTGTACTTCGCGCAGGTGTCGGCAAGCCTTGCGCACCGGGGGGAACTCCCCCCGGGCGCGCACGGCTTGCGGGCGGCAGCCTGCAGCACGGAGCACGGGGCGCCCTTCGGAGGACGCCCCGTGCTTCGCGCAGGTGTCTGCAGCCTGCCGCCCGGCGCGTGGGGTGCCCTGAAGCAGAGCGCCCCTCGCGCCGGGCACACATTGGCCAGCCCCACAAGCTCGTGGGACAGCGGGGAGGCGCAGCGCCGCCATCCCACTGTTCCCCGACCTGGTTTTGGGGGGGAAATAAAGGGGGAAAATTCCTTTATTTCCCCCCCAAAAAAGTAGGTGCGTCCTATGGGACGGAGCGTCCTATGGAACGAAAAATACGGTATTTTTTACTCCTCTTGAGCTTATGACTTTTCCATGATGTATTTCAGCTTGATGTTCTGTTTGCTATATTTGCAAATCATACTAATTTAAAAAAAGAAAAAATGAACCAAGCAAGGCAGCTCATATTTTATCTTGGCTCCATGACCGTTCCTGGTGACTTATAAAAGTTTGCCAAACCTAGGGACAATAGAGAGATTCAGTTGGGTTCCCGTTTTAAGGCTAAGGCAGAGGAAGCTGCCAGGCAGCTCCATCACCCTCTGGACAGCAGAGAAAGCAAGAAGATAGATGCGTGTGTGGGGGTGTCTGGCTGAGGTTGGTGGGATGGTCCTGTGGGATGTAATCCACTGAAAGCAGTCAAGTACAACATTCCTTGTTTTCCTAGAGTGGCCATGCAAGGGAATGTTTGGTCCAGCCAGTCAAAACTTCCTGTTCCTCCTCCTGGCCTGGAGCATCTTTCCTTGCATGTGACTAGTGGGTGGGCGCGACCTTTCCAGACCTGGTAAAAGGCCAAGGCATGCTGCCATTCTCTCCCTTTTCCATCTCCCTTTCATCCTGTGAACTGCCGGACTGCTAACTGCAGTTGCTAGGTCAACCCACATATGGGGTAAACCTGTTTGTACAGTGGTACCTCGGGTTAAGAACTTAATTTGTTCCGGAAGTCTGTTCTTAACCTGAAACTGTTCTTAACCTGAAGCACCACTTTAGCTAATGGGGCTTCTCGCTGCTGCCGCGCCGCTGCTGCTCGATTTCTGTTCTCATCCTGAAGCAAAGTTCTCAACCCAAGGTACTATTTCTGGGTTAGCGGAGTCTGTAACCTGAAGCATCTGTAACTTGAAGCATCTGTAACCCGAGGTACCACTGTATATGCTTGTAACTTTAAGCCTTAAGCCTGCCTTCAGGGATCACACTGTGCTCTGCCTGATCGTGAGTAAACTTGCTTTTTATTGCTTATGAATAAGACTGTGGTGTCTTTATTCTTTTAGGCGGGATTCAAGGGGCCTTACCAGGAAAATATTAGAACACATTTCAATCTGGACAAGCCAGATTGAATTGCGTATTGTCTTAAGAAACTCGCGCGAGTTTGCAATTAGTTTTCTGCTTTTTAAAGGGGAATGCACTCTTTTAAGTAAAGGAACTTGCTTGCGGAAGTTAGGAAGGATATTAATAAACAATATATCCTCTCCTGCCACCCTGAACATTCCCACAGGTCCACCCTAACTGCCTAGTCTCCCCTGCCTTTCCCTCCTGGCCACAGTGGGGATTGGGGCCAGGGGTAGGAGGCAAGTGAGCAGGCAATGGTGAGCAGAAGGACCAATAACATCTCTCCCCAAATCTGGAACCACCGGTACAGTGGAATCCTCTTGAGTAGGAGGAAATTTGGCAGGCCTTCAGGAGTGGGAGCACAGCAGAAGAAAGACTTGCCTGTTTCTTTTTCTTTTCTTCGAGCTCTTCTTTTTCTTCTTCTTCTTCAGTGGGGAGGGGCTGCAGGACGGAGACCTAGGGAGAAGTCACAGAATCTTAGAATTGTAAGGTTGGAAGGGACCCCCTGAGGGTCATCTAGTCCAACCCCCCTGCAACACCCTTTGCTGGATCAGGCCAAAGGAGCACCTAGCCCACTGTTCCGTTCTCACGGATACCCAACCAGAGGCCTTTGGGAAACCCGTAATTTCTGAGATCCCTATTGGCAACCCATCATGGCTCCCTGGCAACTGTGGCTGTGTGATACACCTGGTGGTATTAGGCCTAAACCTCAAATCACAGGCTACTTGAGAGACTGCCTTATCCTTTATACCCCCAGGTGTTAGGGACTGGGCAGAGGAGGAATGGTGGAGACAGCCTCCCCATCCTGACCCTTCCAGAGAAGAAGGTGACTGTTCAGAATTACAGCAGGGGTTTGAGGGAGGTCATAGCTCAGAGGCAGATGAGGGGGAAAGCTGGGAAAGAATGGGAGAGGAGGAAGAAGAAGCACCAGAGGGGGGATAGCCGATGGACACAGCTTCTTTAGAAAGCATTCCAGGCCCCCCCTCTCCCAGAACCCGGTGAGCATTAAAAGTAGGAGAGCAAAGAGCTCAAAAGCAGAGGGCACTTCTCAGCACCTGTAGCAATGACGTATGAGGAAGTGGGAGAGAGGGAGGGGATGGAGACTAAATTGGGGCAACGCTATTATTCCAAGATCCTGCATTCCCAAGCCTCTCTCTGTAAATACTGAATAAAAAACAGTTGGTAAGGACTTTTCATTGTCTTATCCATTCCTGGCAACCTGCCGTGGGGGTTGGTTCCTCGGCTGCCTGACACTGGTGCAGAAAGAAGCCAGTGATGGATTTCCACTCACCTCCTTCTCTTCTTCCGCGTAGATTTCTTCTTTTTCTTCTTCCCCTTGGTAGGAGGTGGTGTGAATTCCTCAGTACAGGATGGGCTTTGGATAGAGGAAGGGAAAGAGAGAGAGAAGGTATTAAGTTTGCATGATGACTACTAGCCAAGATGGCTGTGTTCTGCCCCCACTGTCAGAGGCAGTAGTACAATGGGCCTCTGAAAACCGGTTGCTGGGAATCGCAAGTGTTGTTGTGTTCATGTCCAGACTGCAGGCTTCCCACAGGTATCTGGTCAGCCACTGTGAGATCAGGATGATGGACTAGGCGGGCCACTAGCCTGATCCGACAGGCTCATCTTATGTTCTCATGTTCTCATATGTCAATCACAGCCATCTGTCAACATCTTGACAGTTCTGATCCCCAAAGTACGGTTTCCTGTGAAGGATGGGGTCTTGTGGGAGATCTATAACGTAGGGCGAATGTTTAATTGCCATGTTCCGGGTAATTTAGTCATGCTTGAAATTAACTGTCTCCTCCAGGGATTTATTGCAGATCTAATGAGAGAGTTACTGTATGTTAACTGGCTTGGCACCAAGTTATTTAAGACATATTTATCGAGGTTAACAACTCTATAATAGATTTATACATTTGGCTCCTCTCAGTAAATATGTTTTAAAATAAATTAATCAGACTTTAATTTGCATAGGATAATGGTTGCAAAGTACGGGCATCCGCCTAATTTATTTTTAAAAGAGACTTGGCAATGTTTATTAAATAGCAATCAATTACATAAACAGGAGATTTAGGCTGCAATCCCAAGGCTGGGACATGGTGGTGTGGAACTGATGGAGGTTTGGTCACCTTATCCAAGGCTCTGCCAGGCTCTTGCCGGAAGGGCAGAAGTGAGAGTGGAGAAGGCCTCTTGCATCCCTCCATCATTTCCCCATGCACAGAGGTTTATGCAGAGGTGCCCCATGCTATTGGTTGTCTTCCCCCAACTGCAGGCTAGTCATTGCGTTCTACACCAGCTGGAGGCACGAGATTGTGAACAAGGGCAGCCCCACATTGCAGTAGTCCAGGGGCCATTGGATTGTAAGGCCAATTGCAAGAAGCCCTTGAAAAAATCACAGGGGGTTGTTCCAGCTATAACAGAGGCTCATTTATGTACTAGATTTAGGTTTTTTTAAAGGCTCTGTCTGAAAGGCTCAGAACAGCCTACAACCAAGAAGCAAAATGCCATTGTCCTCTGTGTGAGGAAGGACCCCAGGCAAGGCCTCAAGGCAGGTGATGAGTCAACTTTGCCATATCCAAGCAGCTCTGGATCTGGCTAGCACTGATAAGTGCCTACATGCCTTTCTGAATTCATTGGAAGGTAGAGTATAAACAGAATACATACATATGTACATATAGGAAAGAGCACCTGAAGTCACGATCCCATACACACTTACTTGAGAGTAAGCCCAACTGAGCACTGTGAGAGAGTTATTTCTGAGTAGTAATTTTAGTTAGCTCTATGTTGCAAACCATCTTGAGCTTGAGGAAAGGTAGTGTGTGATATACAGTGGTACCTTGGGTTATATATGCTTCAGGTTACATACACTTCAGGTTACAGACTCCGCTAACCCAGAAATAGTACCTCGGGTTAAGAACTTTGCTTCAGGATGAGAACAGAAATCGGGCTCCAGCGGCGCGGCAGCAGCTGGAGGCCCCATTAGCTAAAGTGGTGCTTCAGGTTAAGAACAGTTTCAGGTTAAGAACGGACCCCTGGAACGAATTAAGTACTTAACCTGAGGTACCACTGTATATATCTCTAAGGCCTTGGTGGTGCCACCACTGGGAGCAACCTTGGTTGGCACTGACCCATGTCAAAGCCTTTTCAGTGGTGGCTCCCTGGTTTGGGGAATGCTCAGAAAGGTGTGCCTGTCACCCTCATTATTAACTTTTAGGAGGAATTAGTTGACCCAGACATAGACCCTGTGATCACTGTATGGTGTGTGTGTGTGTATAAAACAACTCATATATATTTATCAAGGTTAACAACTCTATAATAGATTTATACATTTGGCTTCTCTCGCTAAATATGTTTTAAAATAAATTAATCAGACTCTAATTTGCATAGGATAATGGTTGCAAAGTACGAGCATCCACCTAATTTATTTTTAATTGTAATTTCTTTTAGAATGTTTTAACCATTTTAGAATGCTTTTATTTTTAAATTATGTATCTGCTTTTGCCCGTGGCTCCTTTGGGAGAAAAGATGGGATATAAATTCAGCCAACGAATCAATCCTGTGGAATGCCCTCCCATCATATGTCAAGGAAATAAACAACTATCTGACTTTTAGAAGACATCTGAAGGCAGCCCTGCTTAGGGAAGTTTTTAATGTTTGATGTTTTATCATGTTTTTAATCTTCTGTTGGGAGCCGCCCAGAGTGGCTGGGGAGGCCCAGCCAGATGGGCAGGGTATAAATTAATTATTATTTTTATTGTTATTTGAATTTATATACTGCCCTATACCCGGGGGTAAGGGACAGGGGAGATATTCAGTTCAGTTAGCATTTGAAGGAGGATGTACCTAACTTGCTCATTCCAGAAGAGTATGCAAACTGAAACACTGCCATCCTTTGAGAGTTGCATTTCTCTGAATTTTGCATTGCAGTTCTCTAGCCAAGCAAATTTTGGGGAAGTAGCCATAAAAACGCAGATATGAGTAAAAGCAGCATTTTGAAGATGCATTCCAACAGGGAAAGCTGCTTTACAATCACCTGCAAAAAAATATGCCTATCCTCATGAAAAATCGTCAGTATTTTCAGGTGGACTTAAAAAAAAAAAAAAGCAGTTTAGTTCTCTAGCCAAGCAATATGTACAAAAAGGCCTACACTTTTTGGGTAAAGGGTGTGTGGAAGCGCAAACATGAGAGCAAAGATACAAAAATGCATTGTATCAGATGGAATACATACAATTTCTATAATTAATAACACTGATGTAATAAATAATATAATAAAACTGATATAATTGTTGCAAGACGGTGTCTATTAGGCAACACTACATACCAACATTTGAATATTAGGAAATATCTACACTAACATGAATTTTCATGGGGGCTTTTAAAAATACAACAACAATAGTCTTTGCAAACTAGTGTGGATTCCCCCCCCCCATTTTTATCATGTATTTGGTGTTTTTATATTGTATTTTTGTGCTGTGAACTGCCCTGAGACCTGCGGATGAAGGGCGGTATGCACATTTAATGAATAAGAATAAGAATAACAACAACTTACTCCTGGAAAAATGAGAAACCCTGAAATTTACAGATTTGCCCATCGAGTAACTTTACCTACCTACCAGTGTGATGCAATGGTTAGAGTGTTGTACAAGGACCTGGGAGATGAGGGTTTGAATCACCACTCGGCCAAGAAGAAGAAGAAGAAGAAGAAGAGGAGGAGGAGGAGTTTGGATTTGATATCCCGCTTTATCAGTACCCTAAGGAGTCTCAAAGTGGCTAACAATCTCCTTTCCCTTCTTTCCCCACAACAAACACTCTGTGAGGTGAGTGGGGCTGAGAGACTTCAAAGAAGTGTGACTAGGCCAAGGTCACCCAGCAGCTGCATGTGGAGGAGCAGGGAAGCGAACCCGGTTCACCAGATTACGAGTCTATCGCTCTTAACCACTACACCACACTGGCTCTCTGGGTGACAGAAGCTCACTGGGTGACAGAGGCACCATCTTGGGGCCAGGATTGGGGGGCCAGCACGACGTGGCTTCCTCTCTCATGCTCAGGAGCAGCCAGTGACGGAACTGCACCGTGCTCGGCCTTCTCCACCCCCTGAACACACCCTGCCCCCCCCCCCGCCAGCAGATATTGAGGGGGCTGAAGACACTTCTGCCCCTAGGAATTGGTGCACCTGCTGGATGACCTTAGATCAGTGACTGCCTCTTAGCCTAACCTACGTCACAAGAATGTTATGGGGATTAAATGAAGAGGGGGAGAACCATGTAATGTCACCTTGGAGAAACAGGTGGGATATAGATCCAATAAAGAAATAAATACTACCAGTCTACCTATCTAACTTCTCTCCCTCTCCATATGTATATATATATATATATATACTGTGGTAGCTCGGGTTAAGTACTTAATTCGTTCCGGAGGTCCGTTCCTAACCTGAAACTGTTCTTAACCTGAAGCACCACTTTAGCTAATGGGGTCTCCTGCTGCTGCCACGCCGCCGGAGCACGATTTCTGTTCTCATCCTGAAGCAAAGTTCTTAACCCGAGGTACTATTTCTGGATTAGCAGAGTCTGTAACCTGAAGCTTATGTAACCTGAGGAGTCTGTAACCTGAGGTACCACTGTATATATAGAGAGAGATAGATTCAGTTAAGCGGCACCCTGAAATATTTCAGGGTTCAGAGCCATCAATGAAGGATGAGTCACCACGAGCCACACAGCATGAAAGAGCCCAGATATTGACATGATGCAAGCAAAGGCAGCCAGCCTTTGTGTTCTTGATCAAGAACATACAGTCCCTCTCATGCCATCCATTGCTATTTAAAAGCATCCACTTCACTATTTCCCTCTTGGCGAGGGTTTCAAAGATCCCAAAGAAGATTTGTTAAGTGATCCTCACAGCACCTGCTGCTGCCTTTTCCCTTTTTTAAAAAAATAAGTGGTGTGATGTGCTATTAAAAAAAAAATCTGCATCAAGGACTATCTTTACAAAGAACTCAGTCACCTTATTTCAGATCAAGCTGCCTTTTAAGAGGCTCATGTTATCAGCAGATGAGCATTTGCTCTTGGAAAGCGTGAACGCAATTCCAGGAATGCCTCCTTTGTCTAGCCCTACCTACTTCCTTCGGTCCTTGTGAAAGATGCTCTTAGAAGTGCTGGATGCTCCCAAGGTTCATCTTATGTCCACAAAGGCAGCACATGTGTTTTAAGCCTGGATAGCTCAGTTGGTTAGAACGTCATGCTGATAACACCAAGGCTGCAGGTTCGATCCCCGTATGGGTCAGTTACATATTCCTGCATTGCAGGGAGTTGGACTAGATGATCATCATGGTCTCTTCCAACTCTACAATTCTGTGATTCGATGTGCTCTACCAACTCAGCAGCGGACCAGCTACCTCAGCTTGACCGAGCTGGTGATTTATATGTGCTTTGACTAGGACAGGAAGCACAGGTTGTGTTGATTCTCCTGTACAGCACAGGGGACTTTTTTTAAAAGAGGGGATGTGGGTGGCACTGTGGTCTAAACCACTGAGCCTCTTAGGCTTGCCTAAGGTCGGCAGTTCAAATCCCTGAGGCGGAGTGAGCTCCCGTTGCTCTGTCCCAGCTCCTGCCAACCCAGCAGTTCTAAAGCAGACCAGTGCAAGCAGATAAATAGGTACCACTGTGGCGGGAAGATAAACAGCATTTTTGTGCACATCACAGTGTCCCGTTGTGCCAGAAGCAGTTTAGTCATGCTGACCACATGACCCGGAAAGCTGTCTGTGAACAAATGCTGGCTCCCTTGGCCTGAAAGCGAGGTATGTGCCGCAACCCCATAGTCGCTTTTGACTGGATTTAACCGTCCAGGGGTCCTTTACCTTTACCTTTTGCTATTTTAAAGCTATGGAGTCAAAGTCTGCTGGGGCCTGACATGGCTCAGATGCAACCTTCTCCAATGTTTTAATTCCGACAGGTAACAATGGGTTCAAGTTGGTGCTTTTCGCGTGGTTTATTTCTATGGATCATGGCATCTGTGTGGCTGGTGTAAGCTTAAAATGAAATATATCCTCTCACGAACTATCTGTGACCCTGGAACAGCCTCCCATCTAACAACATGACCTGGAATGAATAAGTAACACCCTGAATAGCTCAGCCGGTAGAGCATGAGACTCTTAAGCTCAGGGTCGTGGGTTTGATCCCCACATTGGGCAAATGATTCCTGCATTGCAGGGGGTTGGACGAGATGATCCTCGTGGTCCCTTCAAATTCTACAATTTTATGATTCTATGACAGTCACAGCATACAAAGATTAGCAGCATACTAATCTTTGCGTTTACCAGCAAAACTTAATTGTCACTTTCCAGGAACCAGGCTTGGCACAGACAATGAACTCTCTCTCAGCGTATGTTTGTTATTCAAGAACGTGTTGCCTTTCCATAATTAGAGTTGTGTCTCCTCCATCTAACCTAACTTACGGAGGAAGGCGATCTCGCAGGTAAACTGGCTCCAAATTGTTAAGGGCTTTATATGCTCACTTCATGCCCACCTCTCATCTTTATTTGGTGAAGGTTTGGGCGTTTCGTCTCGTCTTGGAGGCCTCCTCAAGCTGATGCAGATTTAATTGCACCTCACTGATTGCAATCTAAGTCTAATTAAGAAAAGCAACTACAATGCACTTCAGGCCGATGCAGCGGTAAGCTCGAAATCTGGGCATCTGTAGCAGCCCCACCTCCCACCTTCCTGCAGCAGTTGGAAGCAAAACAGTTACGTGCTTTAATTCCGGGGACAGTTTGGCAAATAGGGCCCTTTTAAACAACAATCTGCTTCGCCGCAGGCTTCATTTCCCCCCGCCTTCAAAGTGACAAAGAGCAAAGGCCGGTCGATAGCAGAAAGAAGCCACAAAGGATGGGGGCGGAGGGAGAGGGGCTCACACTCTTTTTCATCCTCCTTTATCCGTTAGAAAGACTTTGGTCTTCAAACAGCGGAAGCAGGAGCAGAGGTGGGAGTGGTCTCCATGACTATCCCCAGTGACAGGGTGGAAGGCAGGGAGTCCAACAGTAGGTGGCGCCAGAGCCAATGACAACCACAGCCAACTAAATCTACTGTTGTCCCCATCCTCCTCCCTGCTGAGTTCTACAAGGGCAACACTGAGACTAAGGCCACATTGACACCATGCATTTATTATGGGCGGCCCTGTATTGGGAAGTTTTTAATGCTTGATGTTTTATTATGTTCTTATATGTTCTTTAAGCCACCCAGAGTTGCTGGGGAAGCCCAGCCAGATGGGCGGGCTATAAATTATAAAAATTATTATTATTATTATTAGCACTGTGATTCTACTTTAAATAGTCACAGCTTCCCTCAAAGAATTCTGGAAGCTGTATGCTCTACGGGCCTCTCCTTAGGGTGGTTTGCCTTGAAGCAGTACGGTGATTTAGGCTCTATTTTTACTCTCTTCAAACTCCCTGACGTGCTTGCACTCAGGTGCTGAAAACATGAGGTCCAAGCCTACGCAGTGCCTTAAATGCATGGCAAGGACTACTTCTTAATTGCCACCCGAGCTTATTATATCCGAAAGAGAGACAAGCAATCTTGGAATGCAGAATCTTAAAATAAAAATAAAAAACCCAGGCTGCTCTGAAAGACTGCGGCAAAGACTGCACCGCGGGGAAGCCGAAGCGTTCAGCTTTCTCTTGACTTGGATGTAAAGCCCTTTGCGAGGAAGTCGGCAACTGAGCCATCTCGCCAGCCTCTTGGAAAACACGTGGGTGCAAATGGGTCCCCTTTAGGCAGAACTCTCATTACTTCGCCATGTTTTATTGAAGAAGCGGCAGAAAGCATTTCAGAGAAAGCAGGAAAACAAAGGATGACTTAAGGAGGCATGTTCCTTTGCTGCTAGCCCTGGGTCTAATTACCAAGCAAGGCTAAACTAAAATAATAAAAAAATTGCAAATACTATTCTAAAAGCCTTTTGCGCCAGCCATTTCAAAGGATCTGAGATGGGCACTGACTTATTCACACAGCGCATCGTCAACCTATGGAACTCACTCCTGCAGGAAGGAGCGATGGCCACCAACTTGTATGGCTTTAGAAAAGGATGAGACAGATTCATGGAGGACATGGCTATCAATGGCTTTGAGGCTTGGTGGAGGCTATGCTCTGCTTCCACAGCTGGAGGCAGCAGTGCTTCTGAATACCAGTTGCAGGAAGCTACAGGAGGGGGAGAGATGTTCTTGTGCTCATGTGCGGCATGCAGGTTTCCCACAGGCATCTGGTTGGCCATTGTGAGAACGGGATGCTGGACTAGATGGGCCCTTGGCCTAGTCCAGCAAGCTCTTCTTATGTTCTTAAGTGACAACAACAAATGTGAATTCTACCTTTGTAAAGGTAAAGGGACCCCTGACCATTAGGTCCAGTCGTGGCCAACTCTGGGGTTGCGGCGCTCATCTCGCTTTATTGGCCAAGGGAGCCGGCGTACAGCTTCTGGGTCAAGTGGCCAGCATGACGAAGCCGCTTCTGGCAAACCAGAGCAGCGCACGGAAACGCCGTTTACCTTCACACCGGACTGGTACCTATTTATCTACTTGCACTTTGAGGTGCTTTTGAACTGCTAGGTTGGCAGGAGCAGGGACTGAGCAACGGGAGCTCACCCCGTTGTGGGGATTCGAACCGCTGACCTTCTGATCAGCAAGTCCTACGCTCTGTGGTTTAACCCACAGCGCCACCTGCGTCCCTTTGTACAGGAGGCTTACTTTCCACACACACTAGCCCCCATTCTCTCCTCCACCCAGGCAAGCAAGTGGCACGATCAGACTTCAAGGACACGTTCCAGCCAGGGAAAAACACTCAAGGAAGGTACAAAGCAGGTGTGGGCTGTGGAGAAGCATTGTGGCCTGTGGAGAGTCCTGAGGGGAAGATGGAGTGACCCAAAGGGCCGTATCTGGAGAGGCCTCAGGTCCTGAGTCTTACCTGCATGATTTGTGCCTAGCGTACTCCTGGCTGTCTTTCAACCTCACACAGCCATTGGTGCTAGAGGTCTCTTGAGTTTGGCATGGCTCCTCCAGGTGCTTGTTGTCTGTTGGAAGCGGCAGGCAGCTGAGTGCCTCAGTGCTGGAACAGAAGGAGGGAGAAGAGGAACCTTGTCAGTGAAACATTCACAGGGGCAGGCAGGGCTTCTATTGCAAGATCCATGGGGCAGAGAACTCTCAGGACCAAGAGAGCATGGCCATCTTGCCACCTGTTACCAATTTACTTTGGATCTGCCTAACCTGTACTGTTAGGGATCGGTGCCCACAAAGGAAGTGGAAATGGATGCCAGAGGCTCATCCAGATCAGGTCAAAGACAAGGCAAAGCAGATCAGGACCATGGACACCTCCCAGGTCCTCCTGCTACCTGAGCGTGGGAAGATGTTGCAGCAAAGGGCCATCAGAGATAGCAGAGCCACTGGGAGCTGTCCACGGTCCTGATTTTCTTTGCCTTTGACCCGACCTAGAAGTGTCTGGAATTCATTTCCACATCCTTTGTGGGTCTCCAAGCAACGCCACCACTCAGTCCATCTAGCCCAGTGTTCTCCAAACTTGGGTCCTCAGCTGTTTTTGGACTACAACTCCCATCATCCCTAGCTAGCAGGACCAATGGTCAGGGATGATGGGAGTTGTAGCCTAAAAACAGCTGGAGACCCAAGTTTGGGAAACACTGATCTAGCCCATGTGGTCAGACTCCAACACACACGAGCCCCAGTCAGCATGAGTAATGACCAGGGGTGATGGGATTGAGTCCAGCAACATTTGTAGGGTCAAAGATTTCCCCATGCCTGCACTGTCAGGGCTGTGGATCTGGTGATTCTCTTGCTACAGATTTTCCCCCTTCCTGTCTCCATGAGATTCTTCTGTAAAAACAGTGCTTGAGGTGGTTCAGAGCATATTCAAAGCAGTCCAAAAGACACACGGGTACTTGTGATATACATTCAGAACCCTTTAGTATCACAGAAGGCATAACAGAGGCATCCCACTTACTGAATAGATCAGTAATAAAGTATTAATTTTTAAAACAAAAACAAATGTGTTTCAATAATAAATAAGAGTGGGGAGTGATAAAGCAGTAGTTGAGGGTGCAGTTTTGAAGATTCCTTTTCAGCTTTTCCAGTGACAGGAGTATCTCTCTCTTTGACACACAGGCAGGCAGGCAGGCAGGCAGGCAGGCAGGCAGACACACGCACACGCACACACACACACACACACACAAATTCTGTTACAGTGCCACATCTATTCCCAGAGCTTCCTCCACAGGTGTTACCCCACTCTTCCAGGACAGAAACTTGACCTGAGGCTCTTAAGGGAAGTTGCACTCCTTAGGAAGCCATAAAGTTAGCGGAACCTCCAAGAAGGAATCATTTACCTAAAGTTACAGGAGTGCCTGGAAACCACAATAGCATTTTTCCTGCTCACTTATGCATTTATTTACAGTGGTACTTCGGGTTACAAACGCTTCAGAGGTTGCAGACTCTGCTAACCCAGAAATATTACCTTGGGTTAAGAACTTTGCTTCAGGATGAGAACAGAAATCACATGGCGGCAGCAGGAGGCCCCATTAGCTAAAGTGGTACCTCAGGTTAAGAACAGTTTCAGGTTAAGAACGGACCTCCAGAACGAATTAAGTTCTTAACCCTAGGTACCACTGTATTTTTAAAGCACCAAGCTGGAGGACAAACGATGTCGAATCCAGGGAGGAGAGATAGCACAGAAGTTGTCTGAGTGCCCTGGTGGTGTCTGAGAATCTATGGCTGCCTGAGATCTTAATTTTAGCACATCCGTTTGCCACATTGCCCCTTCTGGTCCTGTACTGCGGCTTCCAGACCTCTTTCTCTCCCAGAAAAGTTGCGTTTGGCAGCTGGGATGAAAAGCTGCTAAACCAAATCAAGCCATCCGTTAAGAAATGAGGGCTTGGGGGTGGAGGCATCGAGTGGCCAACCCCCCCAGATTGATTGGGGCACTGGAAAGCCGGGACACACTTTCAGATTTGCACAAGCCAGTGGTCTTGTCAGGAAGCATTTAGCAAACAAGCAGTTCTTTTGTGCTGCGATATGGCAACTAATGACAGTCTGGGAGCCCCAGCCATGCATAGCTTTCCTGGAAGCAGGAAAGCAGCCCGAAGAGAAAGCTGGAAGAGAGGACAGTTGTCAGGGTGACATGCCATGCTGTGAGTCACAGATGTTGGGAGCGGGCTGGGAACAGACATCACCAGGTCTGGAGAATGAAGAGGAGCAGGAAAATCGCAAGTTGGACCTGTGACAAAAAATGTTGCTGAGTGGGGCAAACCCTGTTCAGGGTTTCCAGCCAGCCATGCCTTTTTCCAGGAGACTCCATTCCATTATTTCCAGGACACTCTATTCCTTTTCCATGCCAATGTTGCTGTGCGGAGTGGTCCTTTTTAGGGTTCCAGCCAGCCAGCCAGCCAGCTTTCCTTCTCACCCACCCCAGGGCACTCCATTCTTTTTCCATATGGAGGGCCCCTGTTCAGGTTTTCAGCCTGCCAGCCAGGACAGTCTTTGGGCAATTCTCCTCGATTAAGTTTCCTGCAGGGAGTTCTGCGATAATCCTTTCCTTTAAGATTAGAATAATCGTTCATATTAAATTGCAAATGCATTTCCCATCACAAACATGAAAGTCTGCAAAGAGAAAACGCGCGCACGCACTCGCACACAGCCATTTATCTGCCGCCACAAGAATCCAGCCCAAAGAGATTACTAGTATTTTAGGGCTCTGGGGAGCTTCGGGAATCAATGAAAAAGAATATTGGGCTGAAGCAAAAGCAGACTTTGATGGGATTGGGGAACAATTATTTGCATCAATAATTGCTCTCCACCCCTGGGGGAATAGTTCAGAGCTTGCTCCACAATTGTAGCACTATGTCGTCCTAAGGCCAGCTATGAATTAACCCAGGAAACAAAAATGCTATTTAGCAAATGCTTAAAAAAAATTGTAGAGTTAAAAGTACATTGGGGAGGGCTGCCCCTTTCTCCAGGCAGAGATGGTGCACTGCCTGTATTGCATTCAAAGCCAGAGTAACACCACACAGATATTCCTGGGGGTGGGGGTGGGGAGAGAGAAACAAAAACAGAAATAAAAAAACACCAATCGAAATTCACCAAGGAGTGAGCAAGCTTTCACGTTGCCCACAGCTCTTCTTCAGACTGACAGATGAACAAAGAAAAAAAAAAGAGGGGGGAGGGAATATTTTTGCCGCAAAGTAGGGCACCTCAGTCTTTGCTGGGGCTTGAACCTGGGACTTTTTGCATGTGAAACAGGGGCATTACACAAGTGACCTCATCACTGCTTTTGAAGATGGTACCATCTGAATTGGGTTGCTTCATTCTGCTGCGGGACGGTGCTGGCTCTGAGTGATTTTGCTGGGCTGTTTCACTTTCTTCTCCTTCTCACCATAAGGCTTATAAGGCGGTTCAGAAAAGGGCTACAAAGAGACTGTTGCAGATGTAGCGGATGTCTGTGAATGAACGCCTGTGAAATTGCTGCGGTCCACAAATAGACTGATCAGGATGGAGTGGTCTTTTGTGAAGGAACACCTGCAAAATTGGCATGAGTCGCAAAGAGGACTGAGTCATCCATCCCTATTAGAAAGCCCCGAGGCATTAAGAGGGACTCGAAAGTCACAATTGATTGGCTAGCGCAGCGAGAAGCCACGCTTGGTCCAACGAGAGCCTGCAAGATCTTGTTTTCATTCTCTTCCCCCCATTTAATTTACAATCACAAAGTCCCTGTCCTCACAGGCAGAGGAGCAGCAGCGAGCGATATGATTGCCCTTTGGCACACCTTCCCATCACAAAGACACATCAATTGGAAATGCCAGCGGGAGGGACCTCCGAGATGATCTTCCCGGCTTGAGTGACTTGCAGTTAATCAAGGGGAGAATATTGCTCTGCGGCCTGAATGGCAGATTTCAAAATGCAGCCTCTGGAGAATGTGCTGGTTAAGGGGCATGACGTATTGGAGGGCAGAGGAACATATAATCAAAGCCAGTAGGAAGCTGCAGGAGAAGCTCGTGCTTTGATGCATGCGTCTTCCACAGAGCTTCATAAAGGAGAAGAAACCCACGGAATGTGAGTTGTAGGGTGCCCCAGTCTCCTACCTGACAGGGGGGACAGCCCTCTTTTTGGAGGCATCTTCTCTTGGGTGGACTGGCTGGTCCAAGGCCAGTTTCAAGGTCAAGATGCCTAAGAAAAGTGAGCAGGCACTTCAAGTTGCCAGTCCTCATTGTGTACCTGGGCAGCCAGTTGAGGAGCCACATGGTCCACTTGGTCACAATCCACATTGTGTTTCTGCTTAGATCAGTGGTTTTCAACCAGTGTGCCGTGGCACCTTGAATGATGGTCAGGGGTGCTGCAGGCAACACTGGTCTCTGTCTTTCTTTCTTTCCTTCCCTCCTTTGATGCCCTCTCCTGTCTCTGCCTCCCAAAGCCTTGCACAATTGTGTGTTGCAGCAGTCCTGGCTACAAGCTCCATAGGTGAATGGTGCCTCTGGGGCTGGCCAGGGGGTGCTGGTTGCCAGAAGTTGAGGTGGCCTCGGAATAAGCAAGCAAGCAAGCAAGCGGGCAAGGGAGCCCAGCTATCCAGTCCACCAGCCCTAGCTGTTGGGAATGGACAGACAAGTTCCTAGGCCCCTGTGGGGCAGTGTGAAGAGGCACTTCTCTTTGGGGCGTGGGGGTGGGCGTGGGGCAGGACCAGAAGGAGAGGAGGGAAGGCTGAGGGAACACCCCACAGGGGAGGGTGTTCGAAAAGGGGTGAGAGGCTGTGAGCTCTGCAGGCAAGGGGTGGCATAACTGGGCTCCTGAGCCCCACAGATGTGCCACAGAAAGAATGGAGTTGGTCAAGGGAGCCGTGGACTCAAAAAGGTTGAAACCCTCTGGCTTAGATCATAGTTTGCATCTCTCTGCATATCAGTTAGGTTTTACACAGCTGCGCCATCTTTTCTCCTCTTATTTCTTTAAATATTACTTTCTTCTCCTGCCCTTCAGCCTCCCCCAAAAGCCACTGGAGCAGTCTACAAGTCCCCACCATCAGGCTTATACAATCTAGAAAGAATCAACACAAAAGGAAAATAGATGGGGAGGGGAAATATGCAAACTTGGGTTCAAGTTCTTCGCAGGATGCTTTGGTCTCCTCTCACCCCACCCCAGAACTGCTGGGTGCAAGTGTGAGAGAGATTATGCACAGCATTTGTATAAATGCTCAGGCAGTTTGCATGCACCCAAATAAGTGCAATGCCGTAAAATAGTGCCTCTTGAAGGTCTGCAGTTTTAAGCCAGTTATGGTGCCCATTCCTTGTGCCCACCAAAAATTCTGCATTAAGAAAGGCTGTGTAACTCGGTGACAGAGCATGTAATCTACATGCAGTAGGTCCTGGATTCAAACTTTGACATCTCCAGATATGGCAAGGAAAGACTCTTGTTTGACTGCCAGGGTTTCAACGTGGGCAACACTGAGCTAGTTGGGTAACAAGGTAAAGGACCCCTGGATGGTTAAGTCCAGTCAAAGGCGACTACGGGGTTGCAGTGCCCATCTCGCTTTCAGACCGAGGGAGCCGACGTTTGTCCACAGACAGCTTTCCGGGTCATGTGGCCAGCATGACTAAACCACTTCTGGCACAACAGAACACCATGATGGAAACCAGAGCGCATGGAAACGCCGTTTATCTTCCCTCTGCAGTGGTACCTATTTATCTACTAGCACTGGCGTGCTTTTGAACTGCTAGGTTGGCAGGAGCTGGGACAGAGCAACGGGAGCTCACTCTGTCGCGGGATTCGAACTGCTGACCTTCTGATCAGCAAGCCCAAGATGCTCAGTGGTTTAGACCACAGCACCACCCATGCTAGTTGGACCAATGGTCTGACTAAGCATAAGGCAGGCTCCTACCAGACTGGCATTGGGTAAGCTACATGCAATAGTGGAGACACTTTGTCCAGGTGGGGCCAGTGTGGCCTCAGGATCCAGCCCCTCTGACGGCTGGATCAACCAGTGACAGTTTTGTTCCCATGATACCTCCACAGGTGGTGTTTGTGGATGATTTTGGGCTTGTGCCCGGGTCCCAACTGGAACTGGTACACCATCTCATTCAACTTTAACCAGTTTAACTTTAACCTCATTTAACCAGTTTGGGGCTCCTGCCCTTTTTCCCATTTCTGTTTATGAAACTATCCAAGGTCACTCTTCGCAAAGCTTTCTCCATAGGGGCTGACATCATACAGTCACATATATTGGTAATCAACAAAGTTTGTAGGTTCTTCCGTTCCAGCTAATTGATGCCTGACCTTCTCTGAAAGCCCCATTTAAAACTAAAACCCCTTTTGAAGCTAAGTCTTTTGGAATCAATTTTGAAATGTTTTCTGGAACCGGTGACCTGGGTTAATGAACAATTAGGGTGCATTAGTTAAAATGTGAGCCTTGGGCTAAATATGGCTCATAGGAGTCGATAAATAGGAGAGACTTCTGGAAGGAAAGTAGGGTTAGATCAGCCAGGAAGCTGAGGAACCTTTGCTTTCACCATTAAAAGCATTTATGCTGTCTCCAGCGCCTGGTATTCGCAAGCATTAGTGCCTCAGACCATGGAGACAGAGCATAGCCATCATGGTTAGTAAATACATAGAAATGTAGAGTTAGTTGGAAGGGGTCACAAGGGTCATCTAGTCCAACCCCCTGCATTGCAGAAATCTTTCATCCAAAGTGGGGCTTGAACCCTGGGATTAAGGGTCTCATGCTTTACTGACTGAGCTATCCAGCCTCATCTAAGTAGCCATCAATAGCCTTGTCCTCTGTGAATCTAATCCTTTTCTGAAGCTATCCAAGTTTGTGGTCCTCACTGCCTCTTGTGGAAGTGAGTTCCATAGGCTAATTATGGGCCACATGAAGCACTTTCTGTTCTTTGTCTTGGATCTTCGAACATTGGCTGTCCAGAGAGAGAGAGAGAGAAAAGGGTTCTCTATTTAGCTCAGTTGGTTAGAGCGTGGTGCTGATAACGCCAAGGTTGCAGGCTTGATTCCCATATGGGACACCTGGGGTTGGGCTAGATGATCTTCAGGATCACTTCCAACTCTACAGTTCTTTGATTTTATCCATTTACTTGCCTATTCTCTGAATCAACATTTCCTCGCAGGGGGAGTTGCTCCAGAAATAACAATGCAAAGTTAGAGCCACAGTGCTGTCAAACAGTGCCTGAAACTGCTGCTATAGGAATAATTGCTAAAACACTTAACTCTGATCACTTTCTGGTTTGGATTTTCATTCCAAGATACCCTCCGCAAAGGGCACGTCAGGTCACAGGAAAGGTCAGTCTAGCTCGGCGTTGTGTTGCGATACAGAAACCCAGTGCTCCATCAACTTCTTGCGTTTTTACTTTTTGCGTTTTTTTAAAAAAAACCCTCAAATCAGTTCACTTCCCACTCAGAATCAGAGCAAAAATTTGCATTGCAATTTGCATAATATGCAAAGCAGACTTTCCATGCTTTCATGAACTGGAATATGACAAGGCTAGGTGAAAATTTCTCAGCAAAGATTCAATACCTGCTCGTGGATATATTTAGGATGGTTAAATTACCGAAAAGCATTTGTTTTATGTACATAAAAAAAATCAAAAGTATTTTAATGGTGTTGGCTCTGCCTGTAAACACAATGTTATCTACGCAGGTCAAACAGTCAAGGTGATTTTCTCCTTTGGCATGTATGCTGTGTACACAAGGCTTGTTCACAGTGCAATCCTAGGCCTTCCTACTCAGAGAAAGCCCTATGAAGTTCAAGGGAAACTTCTCCAGACCCACCAAGTGTCCCTGTTTTCCAGGGACAGTCCTGGATTTACAGAAGCCATCTCAGTTTCTGGTTTGATCCCACAATGTCCCGCTTTTCCTTAGGACGTCCCTATTTTCACTGGAGAAATGTTGGCGGGCAACCCCAAGCCAAGAAGATAAGTAACTATACAACCTTTAGAAGACATCTGAATAGTGAAGTTCACTGAATAGTGAACTTCACCTTGCATAGTGAAGTTTCTTTTTTAATGTTTAATGTTTTATTATGTGTTTATATATGTTGGGAACCCCACAGAGTGGCTGGGGTGACCCAGTCAGATGGGTGGGGTATAACTAAGAAAACAATCATCATAATCACCAATGAATAGGACGTCCCTATTTTCATCAGAGAAATGTTGGCAGGTATGTTATAGGACGTGGGTGGCGCTGTGGGTTAAACCATGGAGCCTAGGACTTGCCGATCAGAAGGTCGGCAGTTCGGATCCCCGCGATGGGGTGAGCTCCCATTGCTCGGTCCCTGCTCTGCCAACCTAGCAGTTCGAAAGCACGTCAAAGTGCAAGTAGATAAATAGGTACCGCTCCGGCGGGAAGGTAAACGGTGTTTCCGTGCGCTGCTCTGGTTTGCCAGAAGCTGCTTAGTCATGCTGGCCACATGACCCGGAAGCTGTACGCCGGCTCCCTTGGCCAATAAAGCGAGATGAGCGCCGCAACTCCAGAGTCGGTCACGACTGGACCGAATGGTCAGGGGTCCCTTTACCTTTACCTATGTTATTATCAAGTAACTTTGTTTAGGGCTGCAGCCTTAAAACCATCTCTCTATCCATCCTACACAGTTTGCAGAAACAGTGAGCCAGTTAGAATGCTGCAAAATAATAAAATCCCCTAAATGGGACCACTGGCAGAGGAAGGGGTGTGTGTGTGCAGTGGGTGTGGTCTGCCCCAGGTGTCATCCTTGGGGGGGGGGACATTGCCACACACACCCCTGGGATGCTCGCCCCGCCCCCACGGACGGTAGCCCCGCCCCTGCCTGGGACAGTTCCTACCTTGAGCAAATTGAGAGCAGTTCTTTCAGGGACAGTCTCATTCCAAACTCAGAACCCAGGGCCTTATAAAGATGGATGCAGATGGATTCAATCGGGAGGGAAATCAATTAAATTTTAAACAGGGAGGAAGATTAGAAATCAGGCACAATGCTTTCTTAATTATAGCACCTAATCACTGACTTTAGGGGAAAAAATAAAGTTGAGCTCATTTCCCTTCCTCCGTGCATAGATTGGATGGCTCATAACAAGCGTCTGCGACTCTCCTCAAGCACTCATTCACCGGGGAGGCTTGTCGGATTCATAAAATGATCAGGTGTCACCGCAGAGTGTTTCATATGGTTTCACTCTCACGCACCCCTGAGATTTTCCTCTTCCCCCCCCCCTTTTTGAAAGGTTTTTGTCGCTTATCACCTCCCCTCGGACTCTAGGTTTATTGTGCAGAGATAAGACGGGAGGAAAAGCTTTATGGACAGAACGTGATGAAACGAGTCTTTGCAAGGCTGCCGGAACGAGGCGATGGCAGGAACATCGAGCTCTAAAGAAAATAGCTTGAGTTGCAATCAGTGTCAAGTCGCCCGAGATATAAATTACTTGGAATGGGATCCTCCTCCAGTAATTGTTCCCTCTTCCTGCTCTGTGTATTCTCTCCCAGGCTCACCTTGTACAATAGAGGCTGAGCTTAACACTTCGCTATCTACCATGCCATCTGCAGTGCATAATGCAACACAATCCATTCCTTTAAAAAAATAAATAAGAGAGCCTTTCACAATGGAGGAAGCACAGAAGACAGAGGACTCAGCTATCGGGGGGGGGATCTTCTCTCCTATTGGTCTTCCTGGTCACTGAGGCCAGCTAATGAGGTGCCCGTTGTTTTGCCACAGCCTGAAAAAGCCCACCTCGAAGCAACCAGGGGCAGGGCCTTCTCTGCTGTGGCACCCTCCCTATGAAATCATCTCCCCTCTGAACTGAGGCAACTCTGCTATCATTCAGACACCTGCTGAAGACATTTCTTTCCTCACAACCCCCCTGCGAATTGCTGTTCAAATGAAGGCGACTAAGGGTCTCTCTTCGAAACTCCCAGCACCCATAAAAAACTACACTTCCCAGAATTCTTTGGGGATATTGGAAGTGATACAAAACTGCTTTAAATGTACATTGCAGATGGGGCCTAAGCACAGTGAAGGGCCTTAATTTGGTTGGCAGACCCAACAGCTGCGGATCCGAACCAAGAAGCCGGATTGCTGATGGGAGCCTTTGAAAGCAGCGAGACGGAAGAAGGCATTCTTAATTGAAATTTTAAAAGTAAAACCACATTCCATTACATCACGGCAAAATATTTCCCTGCCCGTCACCAGCATGTTTTCCAAACGGTACGCCTGCCCATGATGATCTCTCTAGAGTGAAATAAATGCTTGTTTTGAAACGTATACAGCTGGTTACTATCAAACCTTGATTTAAAACAGGCTGCAATCATTCCCATAGTTTACACAACCAGGCTTTCCCTCTCCTTTCTTTGAGAGGGCGATCACTGCATGATTTACACCAACACTGGGCCAGAGAAATCAGCTGCGCTGCTGCTAAAGCCATCCTAGATCAGAATCTGTCATCCCCACTTTGCATTTTCTGGAACATATTCCAACCACAGTAGGTAATACGTCTGGTACTGAACACCCTTGTCACAATATTTATAGCATGCAAGGTGTCTTTTCAACACTTTCTCAGGGAAGGCGGGTATTTAAAGCACAGGCTGGGTTAGCATGGTGGGAAAGGGATCTCTTTCAGCCCAGTGATTACATTCCCTTCTGGGCCATCTCCCAGGGGCCACATGTCAGTGGCAGGCAGGCTTGGGAGTGGGGGAATGAGTGGAGCAATTAATGTAGATTTTGCCCTGGACAGTAGGCTCGTTGCTATACACCCTTCTCCATCTCAGCAAGCAAAAGGCACAATCAGAGTTCAAGGACGCATTCTGGCTAGGCGAAAGCCTAGGGCCAGGGAGGGGTGTGGCCTAGGGGAAGGAGGTGTGGCTTAGAAAGGGGGTGTGGCCTGTGGAAAATTCCAAGGGCCAGGCAGAGAGGCACTTGGCCCCCAGGCCTGAGGCTCTCCAGCATCTTGGTTAGCAGGAGCGGGAAGCTAAACCCTCAAGCTGCCCATGCTCTCCTCCCTGTTCTCAGGAGGACTTAGAGCTATTTCTCTCCTAGCGGGGTTGCATGTCTGGAAGGAATATTAGCTTAGGTCACCCATGTCTGAAGGGAGGGAGGTTTGGTGAGGTGGAAAGGGAGGAAACGGTGGTTGGGGCGGGGGGAGGTTGGCAAAGTAGGTAGGGTTGGCAAGTGGACTGAGTGGGGTGACAGTCCCAGTCATAATAAAATAAAATAAAATAAAATAAAATAAAATAAAATATCATAAAATAAAATAAAATAAAATAAAATAAAATAAAATAAAATAAAATAAAATAAAATTTGCTATCTATCATCTATATCTGTCTGTCTGTCTGTCTGTCTATCTATCTATCTATCTATCTATCTATCTATCGTCTATTCCTTCATTGCAGGGGGTGGACTAGATAACTCTCATGGTCCCTCCCAACTCTACAATTCTACGATTCCATCAAACCTATCATCTGTATCTATATACTATTGCATTCACTATAAATATACACTTTTAAGTTCTTTACGTGGTATGTAAAACCATTTAAATAACTCTTATTTCATTAAAAAATAATAATCCTAAAATTAGAAATGATGCAAACTCTCAAATTGCCTCCTTGTAAAATCTATACAGGAGATGCACAAATAGACTTTGCAGCAGGAAAACAGCAACACATCAATTAATTCCAATGCCTCCTAATTTAATAATTAATAATTCTCCTTTACATTTGTTACTTCCTAGAGCCGCATGCAATCCATGCTTTATACTTGCTACACCTAGCTTTATGAGAA